GCACGCGCACGCACGCGCGCACGCACGGCGCACACGCGCGCACGCGCACACACGCACACACGCACACACGCACACACGCACACACGCACACCCACACACCCACACACCCACACACACACACACCCACACACACACCCACACAGACACACAGACACACAGACACACAGACACACAGACACACAGACACACAGACACACAGACACACCGACACACAGACACACAGACACACAGACACACAGACACCCAGACACACAGACACACAGACACACAGACACACAGACACACAGACACACAGACACACAGACACACAGACACACAGACACACAGACACACAGACACACAGACACACAGACACACAGACACACAGACACACAGACACACAGACACACAGACACTCAGACACACAGACACTCAGACACACAGACACTCAGACACACAGACACACAGACACACAGACACACAGACACACAGACACACAGACACACAGACACACAGACACACAGACACACAGACACACAGACACACAGACACACAGACACACAGACACACAGACACACAGACACACAGACACACACAGAGAGACACACACAGAGACACACACAGAGAGACACACACAGAGACACACACAGAGACACACACAGAGACACACACAGAGACACACAGAGACACACAGAGACACACAGAGACACACAGAGACACACAGAGACACACAGAGACACACGGAGACACACGGAGACACACGGAGACACACAGAGACACACAGAGACACACAGAGACACACAGAGACACACAGAGACACACAGAGACACACAGAGACACACAGAGACACACACAGACACACACAGACACACACAGACACACACAGACACACACAGACAAACACAGACACACACAGACACACACAGACACACACAGACACACACAGACACACACAGACACACACAGACACTAACAGACACACACAGACACACACAGACACACACAGACACACACAGACACACACAGACACACACAGACACACACAGACACACACAGACACACACAGACACACACAGACACACACAGACACACTCAGACACACACACAGACACACACACAGACACACACACAGACACACACACAGACACACACACAGACACACACACAGACACACACCCAGACACACACACAGACACACACACAGACACACACACAGACACACACACAGACACACACACAGACACACACACAGACACACACACAGACACACACACAGACACACACACAGACACACACACAGACACACACACAGACACACACACCGACACACACACACAGACACACACACAGACACACACACAGACACACACACAGACACACACACAGACACACACACAGACACACACACTGACACACACACAGACACACACACAGACACACACACAGACACACACACAGACACACACACAGACACACACACAGACTCACACACAGACACACACACAGACTCACACACAGACACACACACAGACACACACACAGACACACACACAGACACACACACAGACACACACACAGACACACACACAGACACACACACAGACACACACACAGACACACACACAGACACACACACAGACACACACAGAGACACACACAGAGACACACACAGAGACACACACAGAGACACAAACAGAGAACAAATACACAGAGGACACCCCCCCCATCAAAAAAAAAACACAGAGGGGACACACACAAACACAAAAATACAAAACAATAACACAACAAACACATATCAAAACAACACAAAAAACACACAAACACAAAGAACACAACAAAACCACAAAAACCACACAAACACACAAAAACACAAAACACACAAATACACACAAAACCAACACAAACACACAAAACACACAAACACCACAAAATACACACAAACACACAAACACACAAAACACAAAACACAAATATAAACACACCAAAACCACACAAACACACAAAACACACAAAACACACAAACACACACTCACACACACACACATCACACAGAGACACACACACCCTGGAACACCACACACACAACACAAGACACCACACAGGGACCACACAGACACACCACAGACACACACAGACACCACACACAGACACAACACACAGACACAACACACAGACACAACACACAGACACAACACACAGACACAACACACAGACACAACACACAGACACAACACACAGACACAACACACAGACACAACACACAGACACACACACACACAGACACACACACACACACAGACACACACACACAGACACACACACACACACACAGACACACACACACACACAGACACACACACACAGACACTCACACAGACACACACACACACAGACACACACACACACACAGACACACACACAGACACACACACAGACACACACACACACACACACACACACACACACACACACACACACACACACACACACACACACACACACACACACACACACACACACACACACACACACACACACACACACACACACACACACACACACACACAACACACACACACACACACACACACACACACACACACACACACACACACACACACACACACACACACACACACACACACACACACACACACACACACACACACACACACACACACACACACACACACACACACACACACACACCGTATCGGTTCGGGGCGGACTCCACTGAGTCATCCACTCAGAGTCTCCCATGACGCCTTAAAAAGGGTCGCTACCACACTTTTGAGCACAGAACTTTAGGTTCTGTAGGGAATGACCTTGGGGCACACTCCCGAAGTGTTCTCTCAGTGATGGTTACTCACCTTGACTGTGGTTCAGTTGAGAGAGTGAGGCATTCGGCATAAGAGCTGGGGGGATGGGCTGGGCCTGCCAAGGAAACAAAGAGATTTGCGAGACGTAAGCGAAAGCAAACTAGTCGAACGCCAATTTGCGACACAAGTCAGCTGCAAACGGGGTCTGGGGCTCTGAGACAGGTGTGCGTCGTGGAAATGCCGGGCACGGTGCCGCTGTTCACCATCCTGCAGTCTCGGGAGCATGGCTTTGGCGTGTCCATGGACCAGGTGGTTGCAGATGGCGTGGAGCGCTCAGACGAGAGTCTGAGAACGAAGGCCTGGCTGAGAGAGGGATCGCTGCACGTCTTGCACAGCCCCAAAGATGGCTTCGGGAATGGCGTGGAGACAAGCTACGAGGTGGATGATGGGCTCCTGGTAGTGAGGCGCTCGGCTCTAGAGCTCAGTGCGCCTAATACTTTCATCCAGGACGACTTGTTATCCTTCGCGCAGTCCTTCGAGCGCTGCCCTGTGCAAGACGCAGAAGTGGCGGCTGAGCCCAGCACGCCCAGCGCACCCAGCGCGCCACCCGCGCCAGAGCCGAGTGCTCCGAGCGCGCCCAGCAAGCCAAGGCCGCCTTGTGCCGTGCAGAAGGCCCCCTGCGCGCCAAAGATGGCGACTCCGGAAGGCGAGGGCTACCGAGTGCCGACCCCTCCTTTGATGCCTTGTGCCCCTGCGGGCCCGCCGGGACGGCAACCCGTGGCCCGAAGGCGGTTTAGGCAGGTTGCATGACATTTGGAAGCCTCTGATCCGACTGATCAAGTTTCTTGCATCCTTGCAGATGCCAGTTGTTGCTTTGGTGTGGTTGGAAGTAGAGGTCCCACCTTTCATGTTGCAGTCACCTGTCAACGGCTTCTTGCGCACGCCGCGCATCTGATGCTTGACAACGAGCAAAGCTGTTGCAAGCCTAGTCTAGTTCTGCAGCCTGTAGAATTCCTACAACTTGCAGATTGTGCCCCGAAAGCCTGAATGCCCAAAAAGCCGCTGGGTTTGATTGAGTTCACATGCCGCTCGGAGATGTATGCAGCCGGTCAACGGTGAACACTACCACCACTATCTATACCTGCATCTCTTGAAAGTTAGTAATTCCCACTCCAAAAAGAAACAAGTACTTTCTTCCATGCTGGAGTGACAATTTTCACTCCGTGTTAAAATGCCCGTTCGGGTAGTTCCGACTGCCCAGGCATCCGTTCGGACCCGTTCGGAACCCGTTCGAAACCCGTTCGAAACCCGTTCGAACCCGTTCGAACCCGTTCGTACCCATTCGGACCCGTTCGGACCCGTTCGGAAGTACGTAAAAAATACGCCAACATTACGCAATAAGCCTTTGATAAGTGCTGATTTATGAACTCTTCGATGGTAGGGAAAATATCCGTTCAAGAGTAGAAATACCCGTTCGAAAGTGGAAATACCCGTGTCCTCAGGCCAAAAAGTACTTTTTCAATTTTGGAGTAGGAATTCTCAACTTCTAGGAGATCCAGGTACGGGATATGACGCTACTCTGACCCAAGCTATCATTTGAACATGAGGGCTACTCACCATCTAAAATGCCATTGGGGGGTTGGTCTTTTACTTTCAACCCCGGCCATAACTCACGAGCCGTAACTCACAAGCCATCCCACGAAGGTCCTCCAAAAAAGGAACCTCGGCTTCAGGTTAAGGAAACGACATTTGGCTGTGGTTGTCAAAACCAATTGTACCATTTCACCCATTTTAGAACCTATTTTAGTGGGGATTGGGATGTTCACTGGGGTGCGATTTGGATTTTGACCCATGGCCATTTGTCTGTACCCTCCCACCCACATCTATTTGACTCAAATGATTAATTCTTGGCATCATCACGAGCCTTGCTGGATCGTGAGCCCAGCTTTGCAACATGCAGAACCTGAAAAGCACTCACTAGAGGAACCTCATCTTGGCTGATTGTTTCTCAAGGGTGAGCAAGTCAGGATATGGGATCGGGACGGCCATTTTGCCACAGTGCAACGAGCAAATGAGCAATGTGAGGTTTCTCAGTTCAAAACCACATGTTGAGGTTCCTTTCACTTTGCATACCACCCCGGGACTGAGCTTAGACATTTCTTGGAATTCCGCGTCGCGTTGCGACGCGACCCTGCCATTGAGGTGCGCAGAACGCGGTCGAGGCGGACGCGGGTCGGGGGGTCTGCCTTTGTCAGCAGCAATCATGAGAGTCGACACGTTGTGGGTTCCCCACAAGGCTTCGAAAACCCCGTCTTTCAGGATTGAGGGAAGGGTACATGGTCAACATCTCCAGGACTCGCTCAGTTTCCCATTTCCAATTTTGGTATGTCTCAAATAGGGGGAAAAGGTTGGCTTCCGTTTGCTTCCTTGTAAACCGAGCCCGAAAAAGGGCACCCTCAATTGAAAGACAAACCCATTGCGGGAGCAAAGTATTTTGGACCGTGCCTGTGACACACGCCCTCGATTCAGCCGTGCTAGGACATGAGCTCGAGCCCAGCCCGGCTTTTGCACGAGGTGCGTGCGGCAGTGGTGGACGAGGCGCGCGATCGAACATGCCAGGAACCCCCTCTAAAACAGGCCGGGGTCCTTGATTTTCTAAGTGAGTTGTAGCTTTTGGAGGCTTAAATTCAGTGCCCTCCTCGATTCGAAGCGAATTTCTTTCAGGCGTGGTGATGTTGGGAAGGTGAACTAGAGGCGACCCTGATAAACTGGAGAGCCCTTTTCCTGTGAGTTAGGAAGCCAAAGCAAATCCCAACAGAAAGTTCGCCATTGAACTATTCCGGTCACCCGCCCCCAACTTTTCAGGCGACATGGCAACGCCGTGTCGAAATGCCTTTTGGAGGGCTTTTTGATATCAAGCTCCTTTCCAACCACTTCCAAATCTGGACTGGAGCACTTTATTGACTGGTCTTAAGCGAAATTGAAAGCTGAAGGCCCTTTGTGGATTTCAATCCGAAACAAAAAGACCCTCTGCCGCACCATGAGCCAGCTAGCCACCCTCCAATGGAAGCTAGTCACCCTCCAATGGAAGCCGATCGGAGGGTTTCAGAAGACTACTTTCTTCGTTTGGAAAGCCACTCGTCCATTTTGGATTGGAAGGAGGAGGGAAAGCCCCATTGTTTTGATGCTTGGAATCCCAGAGCGTTTTGCTCTAAGACCAAGCTGTTGGAAGGACAGTTCCACTAGCTTTTAGAAGGAGCCCTCCCTCTCCATTGGATTGTGGGAATGTCCTTAGCAAGCCTTCAGCTCTGGAGGGCGGGTTGCAGAAGTTTGATTGGGTGCTTCAAACAACCTTCACCTTTAGAGGACCCAAACACGTCGACCCTTGCCGACTGGGAACTTGGGGCCGACTGGCCAGGCCGAGTCCCGGATCAAAGCCAAGCGCGGCAGCCCGGGACGACTCAAAATCGGGCCCTGGTTTTCTTTGAGGGAGAAAGCAAAAAGGGCATGAACGATTTTGTTAGTCCCTTGTGTTTGCACATGAATCAACGCTCGACTTCCAAATGGATGGCAACTCTTGTTTTTGCCTTTTGCAACCGCTCGGTGCCTGGTGTGGCCACGCTGTCACGGCATGGGTGAGGTCTTCAGGGTTTCTTCTGTTTCCCCTTCGGTCTTTTGAACATCAGCCAGGTTGCCGGTGTCTTCGCCCATTGCTGAATGGACTTGGGGGCTTCCATGATGGCTGCAGGAAAATGTAAGGAGCCCAGGGCCGACAAATCCCCTGGCACCGAAAACCGGCTACGATTGAGTCCGTAGATCGAAAGTGGAACAAGGGGAAGCACAAAACGCAGATGAAACAGAGTGAATTCAAAAGTTAGAAAAGATTAACTCCCAAGTTAATGCTTTTGAGTTTCAGGTTCCGTGGACCTTCCATTCCAGGAATTAACTTCGGATTTAATTCTTGGCCCTTGCATTTGGGACCTTGGGATTAACTCTAGAGGTAATCCCCTTGGTGGCTGGAAGACTCATTCCAGGAATCAACTTCTGATTTAATTCTTTTTTATTGCATTTCCGACTCTGATTTACACATATTCCAGGAATTAACTTCTGATTTAATTCTTTTCCATTGCATGTGGGACCTTGTGGTGAGCTCCATCATCATCGTCATCATCATCCTTATCCTCATCCTCATCCTCATCATCATCATCATCATCATCATCATCCTCATCCTCATCCTCATCATCATCATCCTCATCATCTTCATCTTCATCATCATCCTCATCATCATCATCATCATCTTCATCTTCATCATCATCTTCATCTGCATCATCATCTTCATCATCATCTTCATCTTCATCATCAGCCTCATCATCATCCTCATCTTGATCCTCATCATCATCCTCATCTTGATCCTCATCATCCTCATCATAATCATCATCTTCCTCATCATCATCATCATCATCATCATCATCATCATCCTCATCATCATCATCATCTTCATCTTCATCATCATCCTCATCATCATCATCCTCATCATCCTCATCATCATCATCCTCATCATAATCCTCATCATCCTCATCATCATCTTCATCATCCTCATCATCATCCTCATCATCACCCTCATCATTCATCATCATCATCATCATCATCATCCTCATCATCATCAGCACCATCCTCATCATTGTCCTCATCATCATCATCCTCCTCATCATCATCATCATTTTTGAATTCACTCCCTTCCCCCAATGCCGCACACTGAATACCAATTAAAGTCGCTACTCGGCATTTCAACGCAGTGACTCCATGGAGTCACTCGTGGCGTGAAGCCAAACAGACGGGCGGGGCTGAAGCCCAAATGGCGTGTGAAAGCTGGAGACCTCTCCAAGCGAGTCTGCTTCTCGAAGCCAATTTTAGAGTCTCACACAGTCATCTTCATGTTTTTGGGGACTTGTTGAATGGAATCCAAAAGCCCTGTGGGCATATGTCAAAACAGGTTGGGCCCACTTTCCAGGGATGGCCGCAAATCTGACCCTGAGAGGGAAAACACTGCCTTTCGGAAGGGGACTCCCATGGCAACCGGTCGCTGAGCATCTTCCACATGTTCCCATGGTTGTTCTGAGAGGAATCTATCACTGGAAATATACATGTCTTGTTTCTTGCCAGCTGCAGTGGCAGATATGAGTGCCTGTACACTCGTGGGTGTTTTGGTAAAGCTAGGTTACACAGTTTGGTCCCCGACCGCAAGTGGGTATCCCAGGCTGACTGCACTGACCGGGCTGTAACACTCCACAAGATCCTTCCCCTGTTGGTCAGGTGGAATCATGTCTCAAGAATTGGATAGTCTTCGTCCGTTGCAGTCCTTTTCCTTTGTTAGCAATTTCCTTTCCAACGATCAACATCGAATCGGATCCAAATTGTCTTGGCTGGCAATGGTTTTCCACTGACGTCCTTCGCCGGGCATCTTTTTTGTTGGGGGGGTCCTTTCAAGACTGCAGTTGTTTCCCGAAGATTGCAAAGGAAACAACACAGACCCTCATAAAACGCGGCAAATTGCAGGGCTTCTCTTGTTCCCTGCTTGCAGCAATTGGGGCATCCACTGCACCAGGTAAGAATCTGTGCCCCCAAGCACGGTCACGGATTCCTCTTGCAAGTCGGAAGCTTGGCAGAAGGGACAGCCATTCGATGGTTGCCCCGCGCTGCGGCGGCTTTGCTTTAGGTCCCAAAGAGTTTGTCTTGTTTCGGGTTCGGGAAGCCGCGTGGCAGCCGAATTGTGCGGCAGCGAGGCTCCGGCAGGCCTGGACTCAGGCTGCTGCAGAGGTAACTCGGCTGTTTGAGGGGACACAGGGAGGAGTCAGAGGGATGGGTGCATAGAAATAGATGGCGATTCCTGGTTTACCTGGTGGTTTCCCCAAAGGACACCTATGGATGGGTGGCAAGACAAACCCGGATCGTGAGACGGATTTGCGTTACAACAGATCTGAGGGTCCGACAAGTATGTTGTTGGCGCCGATGTGAACTTGGGGTGGTGGTTGTTTCCACTTGTTGGATTCGTCGACGGGTCCCAGTTTCCCAGCTCCAGGTTTGGTCGAATTGCAGGTGAAGCAGCACGAGCGCGAGCGCGCCAAGTCCATGGACCATCTCCTTGAGGAGGCCGCCGATGTTGCGAAGGGATGACCTGGTCGGACGCCTTTTCTTTGGGGGTCGCTATATTTTGAATGGAAACCCCATGCAAACAAAGGGCTCCAAAGCAAATGGTATCTTAGGCAAGTTGTTCAGTGCATGCCACTTTTTCCAGTTTTGTGTGTGGGGTGTCCCGCCAACAATATAGAATCGCCACAAGCGGTGATCCTCTTCTTGCAGAAGTCCACTGTGCTGAAGGCGAAAGCCTGTTAGGTGATTTTTTTTGGAACCCATGCAGGACTTTGGGGCCAAAGACGTTTTTCCAGTGGGCTTGGAGGAGATTGGGCTGAAACCTGCCTTAAATATATAATGGTCCAAATGATGTCCACCCAAATGTCTGCGATTAACAATATACCCAACCACTTTCTCTTTTCGGGAGATGTGTGTTGCCGGCTCAACTTGAGTCTTCACCGGTGCTGAGCCATGGAAACCGCTCTGGCCTGGCGCAAAAGGAAACCTGCAGCCACTCTCAGAACCGAACAGGTTGAAGGTTAGGAGGGGACCGTACCAAAGAACGTTGCGGGTTTCCCCTCCTCTTGATTCGTTACCCTGGGTTGTGGCCAGGTCATTATGACTCAAAGGAGGGTTTCGCAACAATTCTCTTTGGCCCCCCCAAAGAGAGACTGGCGGTTTCGAGCATCGCCTTCTCGCTTTTCGTTGCTCAGCCAGGTTGCAAGATTGGTTGAAGCAGCGCGACCATGGACTCCTCAAGCCTTTGGTCTGAAAGACCCTCAGCTTTTCTCCGAAGATATGGCTATGTGGCAGTTTTTGATTTTGGTTGGCAGGGAATGGACACGAAAGCAACATCATCTACATACAGGGGCCCGGTTGTTGTTTCGACTTGTCAAATATATGTTCCCATCAAACTGAATCTGATGGTTTCGGCTTAAAACTTGGATTCCAAGGGACACTTGAGCGCTCACCCTCTAAGCGGGCCGTTTAGGTTCTACTCCCCGATTTACGGATCGTCGGGGCGCTTGCCCCGTCTTGCAGCGAGGGAATGCGCGGAGATTCGCAACTAGGAATATGGGCATGACAACCACTACATTATAAAACACATCACGGATTCTGGGTATTTGGCATGGAAGGTTCGGAACCTAGATCCCCACCGAAACCGAAACCCTCCTTTAGGATGTCACAAGTTGCCCGCACCTGACGTTGCTCTCCTGGGGGGTTCTGTCCCGCTTCGGCGAAAAAGATATGAGACAAATCCTCGCCAGTCCTCGGGGTTGCTTTGTTTGGGCCTCGAAAGAACAGCAAGGGACCTCCTGGGAGGTTGTGTTTTCTACAAAGCAGTGTTTCTTAGTGCTTCTCAGTGTTCTCGTTTTTTCTTATGGTCTCAGTATGCTTCTTGCGGCCTGGGCTTGCCAGGATTGTTTTTTGGGATAGTTCCACACTTTTGTTGAGGTCGGCCTCACAAACAGCAAGAATAATCCTGGCAAGCCCAGACCCCAACAAAAACTCAAGACTGTCCCCAAAAACCTAGGAAGATTAAACAATCCTGCAGAGGTTTGAGCTCTTGGCCTGCCCAAGACCCCCAGGGATTTTGCTTTTTTTGGGACAGTCTCGAGTTGTTTTGGGATCTAGGCTTGCCAGGATTGTTTTTGTTTGGGACAGTTCCACACTTTTGGGGTCGCCGCACAGAGTAAAGCTTGCGCAGTGATGGAACTTGCAAAGCATCTCTCTGTGTTTTCCTTTGTACCCGTGTAGCAGTGTTTCTGTGCCCTTGTTGGGTTTTCCAAAAGCACGGTTTTTGTGTTTCTCAGTGTTCTCATTTTTTTCTGGGTGTCTCAGTACTCTTCTTGTGGTTCGGGCTTTGCAGAATTGTGTTTTTTTTGGACAGTTCCCACACTGGGCTCACAAAATGCGAGAAACAAGATAAATAAACAGAATCCTGGCAAGCCCAGACCCCAACAAATTCAAGACTGTTCCAAAGAACAAACACGGGATCCAGTAGACTCTTCTATCTGAATTATATTTGGAACACTGAAATAAATCTCCAAAGAAAGGAAAGCACCTGTAACATATTTTGACATATGAATTCTACGTGAAATCTAATTGACATCCTTTTCAGTAAGAAGGAGCCTGTTTGAATTATATTTGAAGCTAGAGATTCTGCTGGCATTCTTTCCTTATTCATGTTTCTCTAATTTATTATCAAGAGATTGAAGAAATCCTTTTGGGCAGGGAACTCCCTTTAAAATCCAATTCGATTTAACAATTTAAATGAAGCTCTACTTGAACTCCTGTTTAAAAAAGGATTACCATACTGAAATTCTAATTGAAACTAGACGTTACACCAGGATGTTGAGCTTATTAGTTCCTATTAACACTATGAACAAAATAATGGGAAAGGACATCTCTTTGAGATCTAAGTCAAATTTTGATGTCCAATGAAAAGCCTAGTTGAAGTCCTCTTTAAACTGGACACCCTATTTAACCTAGAATTTTTACTTGAACTCTGTTCTTACTGAATTCCATAATTTGTTTGCATAGAAACATAAAAAACACCTTTAAGTTTGAACTTGATCTTGAAAAACAACTGGTTGACATTTGTTTGGAATCCTTGTTAAAAAGGAGACCCTATTTCAATTCCAACAGAATTATCCATTCTACTGGAATTCGTTCCTTGTTAATATCTACTTAATTCTCGTGAAGCAAGCATGAATAAGTCCTCCTGGGAAAGGACATCACCTGTGAAATATGTTTTGGACCAACAATTCTAATGACAAATTGATTGAAAGCATTTCGAAAAGTAAATGCTATTTCACTTCTAGTTGAACCTAGATTTTCTTCTGGAATTCTGTCCTTCAGCATGTCATTTAAATTATAAGGAAAAGATTGACCATGTCATCCTGGGAAAGGACACCACCTTCAAAATATAATTTGAAAGACTAATTCTAGTCAAAACAACTTGAAGCCCGTTTAAGCCAGGATTTTAATGTTCATTCAATACGCGAATCGCGCTCCTGAATTGCAAATGCTCAGTTCTGTTGAAGCAGAGTACTCAGATGGATGCAGGATTCTTCAAGCAGGGTTCCCTAATGATTCAAACCAAGTTTATAAGAGGTGGTGTTGAAGCAGACTGGCCAGATGCCGCAGAGCCAAGTTGACACGCTAGTATCATTGAGCAAACTGCTTTATGAAAACCCCAACCTCCCAGGAGGTCCCACTTTGGCCTCCAAAGAAACCTCTATGTATTTCTATGTATATATATATATACATATATATATACATATATATATATATACATATGTATACATATATATATATATATTTACATATGTCGCCATGTGCTTCCCTCGTCAGCAACTTCCAGTCCCATGGCTCGTCCTATGGGACTCGGCTTGGGTGTCGCAGGCTAGGACCTTGGCCGCGGCGCAGCGCTCCATGCAGGAGCCAAGTTGGTCGGACTCGGAGGGTTGCGAAAAGGGGAGAGGCCCCCGGCAATAGGGGAAGGAACACTTGGGATTCGGATTCAGATCATTTTTTGACTTTGGAAAGAGAAAACAAGCCTCTGGAGGACCTTAAGGAGTTCATTCCGATCAGGTACAAGTACAAGGGTTTTTGTTTGATTAGGGGTTAATCTTCGGGACCAGGTGGAGTTCCTTGTCAACGGGGTGATGGACATAGGAGAAGGTAGAGACATGATAGAACTCCAAAGCTTAAGTTCATCCAAAGGAATGAGTCAAGAGACAGGGGCTTTCTGAAAAAACCCAAGGAGGTGTTTTGAAGATGGGTTGTGCTGGTCCGTGAATCTCCGAAGGGCAAAGGACACTGACATGTAGGGGTCCGATCCTGTTTGAGTGATTTGACACAACCAGTCAAAACGGCTGGGCGCTGGGAGTTTGAACATCCTATGGCTTTGCTCGGCCCACCCAGATTCCACCCAAAAAGGACAGATCCAGCCACTCCAACTCTTTGAAACCCAGTGGAACCCATCGGATACCCCCCTCGCCATTGTGCAGGTCACATGGGTAGAATCGCCCCTTCTTTCTCTCGAAGTAGGAGGGGTTCAACGCACCAACCGCCGGCGGTTTTCCTCAATCACATGAAACAATGGGGTTTGCTTTTGGGCTCCCTCGGAAACAGTCCGCCCGTGCGCAACAGCACCAAGCCATGCAATACCAAAGTGCCAGGACATACAGGGCCAAAGGCGCAAGAGCCCAACCGAGATGTTTGATCTTTTCATGTGGGCGGACCTAAGCCCTGAGGCTTTGTTGGAGCAGGGGCTGGTGTTTTTGTGTAGACTGGCCCCTTTTTTGGTCTCCTCGTTTGCAGCGGAATCTCCTTGTGGGGGGGCCAATTGCTGGGGAGCATTCAACCAAAATTCCGAAGCGAGACAGGATGTGGACTTGGCGCATGTGCCAGGAAGACAACCAAGTGTTCTTGAACATGCTCAGCGTCTGGCGCGCATCTCAGTATGCTTCGCAAAGTTGTCAAAACGGGGCATCCCCCTCTTTAATGTTGGATTTGATGCCGGGGTTCTTCCGACCTGATCCCAAGCAAATGGTAAAACTCGTTTGACATCTTCTCCATGTCTCCTGTGGATTCTGAATGGATTCTCCTGACTTTTCTTTCCAGGTCGACCCATTTGATGCTGCCCATTCCTCCTATGCCCAGCTTTGAGCCGAAGGAGATTGTGGGTGAGTGGCCAAGTGGGTGATTTCCAACATGGGGACCCCTTTGGAAAGCTATCAAACCTTTGGAAGGCTATCAAACCGACTGCTTGTATAGGGAACCCTGTGTTTGGGGAGTTGTCAAAAAGACAGCTTTTGTCGCCCCTTTTTAGGCCTCCCTTTGAAATGCGACCCCAAGACAAGGTTGCCATTGTTGTCAAAGTGAGCCTTACTTGGAGGGCCAGGGGTTGCCTTTTGACAAGGCCGACACCTTTATGCCCGCGCCATGGTCAAGAGACTCTTTTGCTTGGGGTTGGTAGGGATGCTCGTCCACGGGTTTCTAGGGAGGCGTTCTGAGGGAACCATGAGGTCCAGATCCTCTCTAGGAGAGACATTGGAACTCCCCTCCCCTGTGGCAAGAGGACCTCCCAACCACAGCTCATATCCCCAGTTGGTGGCTTGGATTGGTTTGGGTTTTAAAATGTTGGTTCTTGTGGGTGAAACCGCTCAACCTCCAAACTTCACTATTCGGATGGTTCGGAGGTGTGTGTGGTTTCCCATCTACCCACAACATTCGAATCAACTCATTCCATTTTCTGTTTTGTGAGTACGCTTTGTGGGGTTTAAAGGGAGCAAAGGAACCCACACCGAAATCCATTTGGGAGGTTCCCCCCAATTTCTTCACCCCGACGAAGCCCATGGCTAGGAGCTCCCCTCGGGTGCCGCCACGCCCTCCACTTGCGCCACCCCCAGCGGCATGCGCTTCGGCCTCTTTGAGCACCTGGGCCTTGATCAAAGCCCCAGGCAACGCCGAGGGAAACGCCAAGGGTGTGGCTCAAAACCCAAAAAACCCTGGTGAACATCAAAATAGATGGATGGGTGTTCATCCGCCCCAAAATGCAGGCCATATGGGTGCTCGAAATGAAAGACCTTGGGCAAACCGCAGGTGCTGGCCTTTGGTTCAATTTGCCAAGGTGCCATTCTTGTACATGTTTTTGAGCCACAGCCAAAACGCCGTCGAAACGACGAAGCGAGTCAATGTGGGGCCTGGTCATTGGACATGTTGATCGCTTGACCTCTCACGTTTCGGCTACTTCCCTTCAAAGGAACCAAAAAGAGTTTCCAGGGGCTTGGGGGGGTTTCTGCGCTGAAAGTCAAACTTGCGTCACTTGGGATGTGGGGACCGGCCTGTTACGATATGTGTGGCCTGTCTCTTTTTTGAAGGAGCACCCCTGGTTTGTGGTTTTAAAGGGAAACCGCAAGCAAACTTGACAAAATGTTGGGTCCAAATCCTCAAAAAAAGGACACCCCCCATATGAAGGGGAGCTTCACGAGTAAAAGATGGCGGGGACGGATCCGAATCCTGTGATATGGGTGTAGACTCTAAGTGGGACCCCCAAAAAGGGGACCGGTTAAAACAAAGACACAGTTAGAACACACCCATGTATCACACTCCTTGTTTCCGCCCGTTTATTCTGCGATGGTCAGGGAAATTCTTGGGCCCTGAAGAGGTCCTCAAATCGAGCCCGCTGTGGATTGGTCTTGAATAGGACATTGATTGGAAGCCAGCCATTTGCGGGGTCCACTATTCTGGGAAGCCCCCAAGATTCCACGATTTCTTCAGGTTAAGAGTGGCAAAAACAACGGATGCCTCTTGGGGGGAAATTGCAGGACATGGGTGTCACCATTTTGACATGTGTTTGGTCCCGCGTCTGTGATGTCAGAGAGCCGTTACCCCGCCCTTTGGAAACTTAGTCGCTCAGAATCTCAGAAGGTTGTTCGTGGTATCTGGTATCTGGTATCACAGTGGGACAGGTGGTCGGTGTCCTTTCTCTTTGACCCCATCCCGACAGGGGGCAATTTGGCAATTTGGGGACCCCCCCCATGTCTTTTGCGAGACGATCACCCGAGATCCCAAAAGACGCGCAGGAGCTCCAGCGCTACACCGCAGAGAGGTGCACGAGACGAGGAGTCGGACGCCGAGGCTTTGACCTCCGGTCGCACGGGGCGGTCGCGCAATGGGGCGACTCCACTTGTTTCCCCAAGCAAAGGCGGCTTCTCTTTCAAAAAGCCACATGGTTTGCAACTTTGGGTTTCCGGTTTGGGCACTTGCAAAAAGCGACTGCAGCAAGTCACGTGACCTTTAGCTAAAGCCTTAGTGGATTCCAGCCCTTTAGCTTCTGGTTTCCCAGCCCTTTAGCTAAAGCCTTATAGGGAGTTTGGAACCCTGAAGGTACCTCCCTCCGCTCCTCCTTGCCCGCTGTCCTTGGCGGACGCGCTTGGCATCAAGGCTCCGAATCCAGAGGCGGGGGCGCTGAGTGACCTGACCAACGAGTTTGGGGAACCCACCACTTCCCAGTTGCCCAGTGGGTTGCTTCCTTTTTTCCTTTTTTTTGTTTTGGGACGGGTTCCCCCTAAAAGTCAACCAACCAAAAAAGGATGGCGTTTGTTTTTTCCCATGACCACTGGGCATCTGAGACTTTGCACACGGCGTTTGAGCTTTTACAACGGCCAGAAGCCAAGCTTCAGGACTTCTTTTTCCAAAGGAGACCAACTGAGTGGACGAAATGGCTGCTCCTAGAATTACGGTGGTCCTGTTGAGAGACTCGGCGAGTACATGTCAGGAGTCCGAGCCAGAGGATGCCTTTGTGTTCAAGCTCACTTTGCGAGTGGCGGCTGCTTGGATGCCAATTTCCAATCTCCTTGAGTTCTCAAGCCCACGCCCGGGCAAGAATCTGGTTGGCCACCCTCTTTGTGCACCACATGATGTTGGATTTTTGTCCAACGGTTTCTGTGTCCTTTCTTCCCCAAGCTTCCATGATTGGCAAGGATGTTTATTGCCTCCTTTCCTTGGCATTTGTCTGTTTGTCTGTTTGTTTGTTTGTTTGTTTGTTTGTTTGTTTGTTGGTTTGTTTGCGTTTTAGTACCTTTTTCAGCTGGCTTTACAGGAAGGGCCTCATCGCTTCGGGGGTTGTCATGTGGGTATGGGTCCAAATCAACACACCAGGACTCCGCAGTTTTTTGTTTTTGTTTCCATTTGCCGAACGGGCAAGCTATTTTTGGGTATCCATTTTGGACCCACATCTTTCGACACACCCAGGACAACGTGGATCTGGGCCTCGCGCTTTCCAAGAAAGGCCAAGTCCTGGTCATCGACGCCGTGCTGCCCGGCGCCGTGGAGCCTCGAAAAGCGTTTGGCTTTTTTCGGGTTTCCCGAGTGTTCCATGAAGGGTTCCACTTTGTGACCCCAAGATAGACTTAAACCCATGGTTCATTTGCCCCCCCAAAAAGGGACCCCTGTGTTTAAGGCCATCTTGGGGTAGTCATAAAGTAGAGCCCTGCTTCTATGTGCGTTTAAATGAATGAATCCATCACTGCTGGACATCTTGTCTCATATGTTTTGCCTGGGGGCGAAAAAGCAACTGGAGGAAGTGCAACATGTCTAGGCGACGAACACGTTTTTCAGAAGCATCCGAAAGAATTTCCGGGGATGATGATTTGCCCAGAGGGGATGATGATTTGCCCAGTTTTTTTTTTTTTTAAATATTAATTATTTTTGTTTAATGTGTTGAAGGTGTATTCCGAGACAGAGCACCTAGAAGCCACTATGGATCCTCTGGGCCAACAGGGGTGATCTCAAGTGGCAGATGAATTTCAAGTCTTGAACAGGATTGAATCCCAATGGTAGATGGACATGATAGTAATGATAGATCTACATCTTGAATCTTTAGCCTTTACCCTGAACATTTGGTTGAATCCATATTTTTCCCCTTTCCCAAGCTATAACCCCAGGTAGAACACGTGGCAAGTTTCCCATCGACCGCTAAGGAGAGTTGGAACCGCCAGTGCCGCACCTCTCGTGGGGAGCTGCGGGCTTTGCGGGTGGGAGACCGCCTGGTGGCAGTGAACGAGGCCTCGGAGCCGGAGAAGATGAGCCTCGGCTTCCGTTTGGTGTCGCTTTCTCCCCCAGTTTCTTATTTCTTTGCGGTTTTTCGGCGGAAACACAAGCGCGGATTTTCTGTGCACCGATATCGGCTTCCCTCTGCTTGGTGGTTTGGATTGGTGGTTTGGGGGTGGTTTTCCATTTGCCCACAGGAACCAAGGGGGTCAAATCCCCAAGACACCAATCCAAACCACCAAGTAACTAAGGGTTACCAGAGCTATGGGGTTGCCCAGTTGTTTAGGGCGGAGTTCCGGAGAAATTCTGGCTGTTCAGAATACCACTTACACTTGTTTTTGCTTTTGTTCGGGGGGTGGGTGGTGGGGACGTGTGTTTTTTTGTTGCACTATAGAACTAACCAAAACACAGTCTTTAACTTTGGATCTCCTTCAGTTATAAGTGTTTGGTTCTGTTGGGTCAGATCTGTACCCCGCGTTTCAACAGCCGCGGAAGTGGACACACCCTTTAAAGATGTCATCTAATTAAAGCCTAAATCCACATCCATTGCTGGAAAGAGGACAACTTTCAACTATTTGAGGGAACTTGTGTATGTATGTATATATATATGTATATATATATATACACATATGTGTACATATTATATGTATGTGTTTGCCAACAAGGTCATATTTTTTGTAGGGGCAGACTCAGGTTGGAGGAGGCGAAGACCCGCAAGCTGCTGAAGTTCCAGGCAGGAACCCCCTCATCTCGCACCCAGAAAAGAGACGCATGGCAATGGTTTCGTATGGGTTTGTCGGTTTGTCCCTTACAGAAACTGCAGATTTTGGCTGGCTCACTTGTTTCCAACGTTTCCTAAAACGGGGAATCGCGGAAGGTGATACGATTGCTCCACTCCCTACACGGCTCTTTTGGACGGTGATTTAAACCCTGAGACATGCGTGTTCGTGTCCGAAATCCCAAAAAGAAAAGGAAAGAAGAAAGTACAGGACCCTCAAATGAAAAATCCATATACTTCGTGCAGGGGTTGCCAGGATCCCCGAGACCATGCCCCAGGTGCTGCGCCTTGGTGGCGGCGGCAAGGCTCCGGCGCCGGCGCCGGCGCTGCAGCAGCCACCGCAGCAGGCGCCTTTCGCACACGCGGCGGCGCCGCTGTCGGGGCAATACCCCCTGACCTTCCCGACTGGACGCTGAGTTGGGCACTTGGCGTTTTCCCGTTTTCCCTTTGCTTTTTCCATTGCCCTAAGGCCGTTTGCTTGTTTGGAGGATTTGTGGTTTCGAAGGGTCAACCTTGTGTTGCACGGTCTGGGAAGCTGAGGACTGGGATACGGCCACGGCAGTTCAGGTCTCAGCAACAGCTGCGATATGTATGCGCTGAGCAGTGATTTTGGTAGCAACAGTCAGCCAATGTTGGCCCCACTCAGTAAGCCTTGCAGACTACTTGGGTGGTGTTCTTCTCCAGAAGTAACATATTCCTTCTACAGTTGGCATGGATTCTTGCATGTTTGGGAGCTGACCATGGATTCTTTCAGTTTCAAGGGAATGGTGGAGTTTGACCATGGCTGAGGCGTGGGGGACTGGACGACTTTCCCTTGGCTGTAAAGGCCGCCAGCTCAGCGAAGCGGATGCTGAGAATGCACGACTGACATCGACGAAAGGGTTTCTAACAAAGAGGATGTGGGTGTGCCTTGTTTGAACCCTTTGCCCCACCCCAGTTTTGGTGGATGGGTTGATCTCATCCCCTGTCAGGCCCAAGCGAAGCCGTGCTCGTGGGCTCGTGGGGTGCCGGAAGGCCTCGTCATGCCCGGTGGTCCTTCTTTGCTCTTCAGGCAAGGTGATTTGGGTTACCCCACATTTTTCCAAGAGGGGCTTGTGATGTTTTCCACAGGGAAACTGGGTGGGTGAAACAACCAAAGCCGCCCCGGTCAAAGGGAAATCACGAGGAGGTTGTTTTAACAATTCAAATCATGTCGAAGCAAGGCGATGGTTCAAAGTGCTGCAGTTGTATCCTTTATGGCCGGAAGCAACCACTCACGATCTATTGGGTCAAGCCACTGATTCTCACTATTTCCCGTGCCGCAGGACATGGCTGTTGAGGAGCCTGTCGCTTGATATAGGGGACCGAAAGAAGCGCGTACCATGATTGATTTGCAATCATGACCTTGCCCATTCAAATTGAAGCTATGACAGGTTGTTTCAGGCCAGGCCCGTTGTTTTCGTTTGCAGGCAACTTCACGCACGTCTGGTGCTGAGAGGCACGCGGTGCGAAGTGTCCTGACCGATCCATGGACCTCACAAGGATGCAGAAGCATACAGTAAAGAGCAATCGTATCAATGTGTGTTTGCAAGTTAAACTTGTTGTACCCATTGCGCTTCAAAGCCTTACTTAGCAGGCTTCTCAAGACGCACATGGATCTGTGTGCAGGTCCTTGGATTCGATTTTTTTTACCGTCTAATTCACACTAGATTCTCGAAGCCGCTCATGATTCCTGGCAGCTTGAAACGAGTGAATTGGATTGCACGTGTCCGTTTCCAGCGGGCCCGGGGGGCCCCATGTTTTGGGACGCGACTTCAACTCAGACCGCAGGGGTCCTTGCACTTCCCTCCGTTACATGAAACATCATCTTTTAGTTGCGAGTTTTCAGTAGGTTTGCAGCTTTGCTTTGGTTGATGCTGGGGGATATGCAGGGAGCCCCTCATGGAGTTGCTTGTCGCAGGAGTTTTGACCCAACACCACGCCCTTCCTCCTGTTTTTTTTTCGTGGCACGGGGGGCGCCTAGTTTTTTGCAGCAGAGCGGCTGGCAGTCGCCGGAATTGAGTCTGAATGAGCCGAAGGGATGACTGGCGCATCGCCAGTCTTATGCGGGCCTGCACGGAAAAAGGGGTGTTGCCTGGCCAGCTTGACGAGGGTGTTGGTTCTCCCAAACAACCGATTGCCAAGATTGCTTGACAGGACAGGGTTGTTTGGACCACCACCCAAGAAAACAAGGTAAATATTTCGATACGTGCCCCAATCAGTCCAGAACATGGGTCGGACTCCAGCCAAAAGGGAGCACGTAATAATTTCCCTTCGTATTGCGCCTGCATTGACTGTGCTGTTCTCCGGGCAAAGCCACGTCCACGTAATCATCTCCTTTGAACATATCGTGTTCGCATTTAGAACTGGAACTGGCTTTGGCTTCGGGAATGGTGTCCCACAGTGAGGGGTTTGTGTTGATGTAAATGGGCAGTTTCATTTGGCAGTGAAACGGAATAGGGAATGTGAACAAAATCTAGAGAACGTGCCCACGTGGGTTTCCAATTCATCTCAACAGTGCTGCCCAGATCCGACATCCGTTGTCCGTGAGTCAAGCGGTGAAGCACTTTCAAGTGTGCCATGGTCAAAAGAATTTGACCTCGCTTGGGGCTAGCGGATATGGCTGTGGGTCATACCCATATATCATGAATCTTTTACTTGCCGTGGGGATTCGCAGATGAGCATTGGGCCCAATCGATGCCTCAATCGATGGAACGACCTGTGTGTGTGTGTGTGCTGCTAGGCCAAGCCGAAGGACGAGGCCAGGCAAGAGCATCAATTCTCAAGGGAAACGAAAAAGGGCGGGGTCCAAAGGAGTCACCCCAATGTCGGTCAGTCACCAAAGAATTGTCGATCTGCTTTGGCCGCCCTATTTTCAGACACCATTGTTGGAGGTGCGGGAACCCAATGGAGCAAGGCCATGCAGAGGGGTGCTGTGTCTTGGGGTATCGTGGCTTAAGTTCTCGGTCTGTCGCTCAGGCGATGGTAAGGCTTTTAGTCCAGTCCCCAATATCAAGTTACTTGGGTGACGGAGGCCATGCTGAAAATTCATTGTTTGAACAGCTGGACAGCTGCGTGTTCCAGAACTGAATTGTTATAGGGTGTCGTTTTGAGAATACTCTTTTGAGGTTGAATGGAAGGCAAAAGGGAACCGCCTGTTTGGGGTGCTGCCCCATTTGAAGACAAACTCATGTTTTCATTGTTTGCTGGTGTGAATCAACCATGGGGCAATTACCGGCCAAAGGCGTGCAGTGCATCATCAACTGACAGCAAGGGTTAGAAGACTCTTTGGATAAAGTCTGCTTTCTGCGGGTCTCGTATCAACAAAGACACTTTCCGAGACTCTTTCGGGTCGATGGAGATCCACTGGCCTTGCGGAAGTGAACCAGGAGTGAAAAGTGTCTCTGACCAAGAACATGTGTGTGCGAGTGTGCGCTTTACAAGCGCGAATCCACCCAACTGGTGCTTCTTTGATGTTTTTTTTTTGGGGGGGGTAACTTTTAAACATTTGTTGTTAAGCAACAGAAGCAAGCTCAAACGAAGGTGTTTGGCTGTATTTCTTCCGGCCAATACCTGAGGATGACTACGACCCCTTCTCGGAGGAACCAGCGCCGCATGTGGCTATGGAGAAGGCGCAGCTGCTCAGAGCTGGTTGAGCACTACTAAGCGACACCTCTCAAGGAGACTTCAAGCCTCGGACGCTTTGGGCCATGTGGAGAGTCCCATTCTCTGCTGAAGCGGGATGGTTAACAAACCAATCCAAACCGCCAATTAGGGGCAAGGTGCCTTCCTTGCCAAGCGGATCAGTCATCCGCCAAACAGGTTAAGAACCATCTTTTGGCTCGATTTTGGAGCGTGTCCGAAAATGGGCGCCAACCTCTCTTGGACGGGCTGTTTTTTGACAAGGATCCCCCCCCTCCACGTTTGGCACTTCACCCCCCCCCCCTTCTCCCCCCCCTCCCCCAATTTCTGCCAGATTTTTGGCTTCGCTTCTGCGAACCCCAAAGCACCGGCATTTCGTTGCTCCGAATCCATCTCCAGGTCTTCAGAAAGGCGGCGCGCGCGGCTGCCGCCGGCTCAGTCCCCCGCACTGGCACCAGAATCGCTCGGAGGAGCGCGCGTTTTATTTATAAACCTCATTTTCTTGTTTCCCGGTTTAATTTGAAGCTCATTCTTGATTCCCAAACCATATCTTCGGGCAGTCACTGAAATCAATGATAATAGAGGACATCTAGTGAGACCATCTTAGGTTCTCAAAATGCTGGGGATATCCCCTTGGGGCATTTTTCATGCCCTCCTCTGGCCGGTTCTGCTCGTCGCGCTCTGCGCTCTGCTCAGATGCGAGCTTTGGAGGATGAAGCTGTTGGCCATGTGCATGACACGGACCCTATGAGGCATCCCTTGCGCCCAAACACCTCGAAATGTGCCATGAGTTCACCTGTATGCCTCTTCTGCAAGGGGAAAACCACAAAGCCACAAGAGAGTAAAGGGCGGTTCCTTGTTGCTTTTTCCCTGTAAACAATGCCCAAAGGTGTTCCCTCAACCAAAAGCATCCGCATTCATTCCGCACAGTCATTCGATGCCTACACACTTCAAACTCTTGGACATCAAAGCGTGCAACTGCTCAGAAAGTCTGCTGCCAAGGGCGCCGTAGTCCACGACAAGGCCCACAGCAACGACCAAGTTGGTCATCGAAATGCTGTTCAGGTCCAGGCTCCAAAGGACAAGGTTCATAACTTGCTGGGTTCCCCACTTGCCACCTTGAAACTATGGCCCACTTTTCTGAATTCGTGATGTTTTGACTGCTTTCGGGGGTTGTCAAAGTGGGCGTTCCACCCCTCTTTCACTTAGGGGGGGACTTCGGAACCCTGATGCCTCACTTGCAAGCGAATCGGCCTTTTGTCGCTTGCTTTCCCAGTTGTGGTCTCGTGTTCGTCAAGGTTTCGAGATGCTTCGGGCAGATGCGGCGGCCCAATGGCCCCACTCCTTTTGGTTGACCTAGTTGAGTTTCGTGGATTTTATGTCCCCAAAAGCCTCCAACACGTCATTCGAGTGCGGAACCCGGATGAAAGGAATTCGCAGCATCTCTCCGTGTTCCCGTTCGGTTTGAGGCCTGGAACCCACTTGGCATGTCGAACTCTCGACTGCGCACCGAAAGCTCTCGCTCCAAGCAGCTTTCAGCCTCAAACCTGGTGGCCGAAAGGCCCAGCGAAGGATGGCCAGCTCGAGCGCGGCATCCGCCAGCGCGAGCGTGGCATCCGCCCGCCCCGCGCCTCGTGTCTTGCAGATCCCGGGCCGGCCTTTGGCTTCGCAGAAGCGTCGCTTCATGTCTGACAAGGTCGGGGAGATCCGGTCCAAGCCGTCCGCGCCCAAGGCGAAAGCGAAAGCGGGGCGCAGCGACCCTGAGGAGCGAGCAGACGGAAGGGTGGGGAAGGGCGTTTGCCAGCATGCACGCCCTGCAAATTAACATGGACCTCCAGAACATGCCTCCATTTTTGCAGGAATCTCCCAGGGAAAGGACCCCTTTTAAAGGGTTCCGGGATAATTTGCAGTGGCAAAAGCATGAGGATTACCTAGTCGGTGTCTTTGGGTCTGTTTTTGGGGTCCTCGGGGTCGCTGCGCGTTGCGCGCGCGCCGCGGAGCCCGAGGACACCGCGGACTTCAAGCGCACCTTGAAGGACGTCCTCAACTTTGTCATGCCTCAGCTGGGAAGGGCTGAGAGGAAGCAATACGAAAACGCCAAGGTCAAAGCGCTGGGTGGCACCCTCGTGACTGGGCAAATCCGCCATTGAAGTCCGCTTTGGGGCTTTGGGGGGGGGGGGGGCGTTGACAAAAAGGTTGGTCCGCTTCAACTTGGACTGATTGATGCTTCCCAGTGCTTCAGAAGGGGCCCCCCTAGAAAAAAACTGCTCGCTAGAATGTACCAGTGCCATCGAAACTCGCCATGGAACATTCGAGGGTTTGTTTGAAGAAATTCCGCAGCTGCAACATCCTTGAACAAGTCGATCTTCAAGGGGCAAATGGGGATTCCAAGCCAAGCTTGGCCTGATCGCAAGAGGATGAGCATGACAACGTTCGCTTTCCCAGTGCATTTGAGGTTGACAAGCATATTATATTGTTATTCTTCAAACAATGATAGCACACCCTTTCTGCCAAGCTTTGCTTTCTCATTTGGCCCATGGCCGCAAACGCAGGCTTCTACAGGCGTGGGCATCATGTTTCATTTGACCCTGACATGACCAAATGAGAATTTCCGGAGCACCAGGAAAAGCATGTCTTGACGCACCCCGACCCCACCAATATGTTTGACCCCAGAAAACACTTCCTATGACTGACTGCAACGTGACGAAATGGCAACGCCCGCGGCACTTCACTGTCCCAATATTCTTTTTGCAGCCTCAAACAAGAGGTTTGGAAAGCTGCGTTCATGTTCCTTGGTTGACCTGTATTTACCCTGTTCCTGTTGGAACATGACGGTTTCCTCAGCTGTCTTGCGAAGAGTTTAGCAGCTGTTTGTAGGTAAAAGGTCGACCCTGGTTCAATGGAAATTCAACATCGTCACAAACGTGCCTGGCAGATTTGCGGGGCTTGCGAGATTCCATGTTTTCGTTGTTTTTATCTTCCTTTGAGGGCATAGCTCTTCCAGCGATTTCAGCTGCACGTAAAGGAGGTAGATAGGGTTGTTTTTCCGAGGTTTTGCGTGATGGCCCCGCTTCTGGTTACCCTGAACTACGTAACTGCAATCTCCAGGAAGTCTTCAGTACCATGAAAGCTGGGTTGGTCCCAGGGGTGCCTTTTACTAGTGCCCTTTGCTGCTTGTGCGTCTCAACCACACCTTCACAGAAAATCAAAAGGGCCACTTACCCTAAAAACCTCCTGACACATGTTCGTAGACGTTTGGGTGTGTCTTTTTTTGAGGGTAGCCTTTTTGGGGTTGGCTGAAAGGGAAACCAAAAGGACAACGAAAACTGCCATTTTAGGAAGAGACATTCATTTGAACCGAGGAGAAGCCCCCCTGGGAGCCCTACTCTGTGCTGCAGAGACGGAGGAAGGGTGAGGAGGTGCGTGCGTCAGCTGAGCCCATTTTGCCCCCCCCCCCCCCCCCCCCTCCTGTTCCGGGTCTACCCCGGGCGTGGGCCCCAATTGACTCATAAGCCATGCCCCTTACTATCTATACACCAGCTAAATTAGTTACATGTTTAGTTGTCCAGCCTTTTAGACTTATGGCTTTCCAGGCAATCTCATTGATATTTCTGGAATATCCGGGCAGGTGTGATATGGCAAGCAGGGGACTGAATGGCCCCTTTCTGTTTTGGTTTTCCATTTCGGCTTCGTGTTGTCAACCGCTGTTCGTTTCACGGGGGCGACCTTTGAACAGGGCCCACCCTGACTTTTCGACAACCGCCAAAAAATCAGAGGACCTGCTAGTTCCTTTCAAAGAAACACAGTTCCTATCCAAATCATAGCTATGCTGGCCCTTGCTTCTCCGGATGATTTTCGTTTGTTTCCCGAGCTTTGGAGGTGTAGCACTTCTATTCTACAACGGCCACCACCACTAGCATCTACTACTCTTCCATGATCAAATTTAAGGGCTGCCGCCCTGTGCCGCCGGCCCCTGCTTGCTGACAGGGGACGTTGTTATGACAATTATGACTACGCATGTTTTGTCGGGTTTAACGGCACACTTAAACCATATATGAAAAAGAAGAGCAGCACGATAATGATGATGTTTTTGATGATGCAATGTTTCACCCAACATTAGGGGTGCTGATAATTATTACTATGATGCATTATGCATTCGCATTATCGCCAGCAGTTACGATGATAATTGTTACTTTGCATTTTTAGCATCACCAGCAGTTGTTCTGATAATTATGACAACGCATTCCCTGCATCTCAAACAAGCCACTGCGGGATAAATTCGCATGATAAAAGCACCTTGTTGAATTTTACAGGACTTGCCCCCGGTGTGGGGAAACTCGGGCAGGAAAGCCATGTTGGGGGGCATTTTTTTGTTCTCAAGACTATTGCTGTGGATGTTAAGTGTGGACTTTGTGCCATGGCTTCGTCTTCGCGAGAAGTAAGCCGTTAGGAACACCTCCGAAAAGAAGAGCGCCACGCCTTTTGATGAAAATGATGAGGAACATGATGATGAACATGATGATGAGGAACATGATGATGATGATGATGATGATGATGATGATGATGATGATGATGATGATGATGATGATGATGAACATGATGAACATGATGAACATGATGAACATGATGATGATCAACATGATGATGAACATGATGATGATGATGAGGATGATGATGATGATGATGAACACCACCATCATCATTTCATCATCATGTTCATCATCATCCTCCTGAAGAAAGTCATCACTACGCCTCCTCAGCATCACCAGCTGTTAACGTCATCACTATGCATCCCGAGCATCAGCAGCAGTTATCATGACAATCATGACAACGCATCCTCTGCATTTCCAGTCGGGTCAAACGGCGCACTTGAAACATATATGAATAAGAAGAGCGGCGGTAATGATGATGATCCGGATGCTGTGAACCAGCACCCAACAGCAGTGGTGATGATAATCATCACTGAGACAAGGACAAAGACAAACCCTTCCCATGCGCCTCCCCTTGGAGAAAGGGGTCGGCGGATTTTACTATGGCTCCATAGGGGGGTCGGTTGAACATAGGCCAAGACAAACCAGCATCATTGCCCATGTTCTAATGGCTTTTCCCCCCAGGCATTACTTTTTGTGAGTAACCCGCTAAAAAGACAGTCCCTCATGTTTCCCCTTTTTGCCATACAAAGTGGCAGTTCTTCATTGCAACTCCAACCTTTGAAGCGGAACTATGCGAAACCATAGGTGTCCTTTTTGGTTGTTTTGCTGGAAAAATAGATGGCCCTGGTTTACCTGGTGGTTTAATCATTTGCCAGGGCCATCTATGTGCCCTAAAAGGACACCTATGTGCGAAACCCCAAGCCCTGAAAGTGCGGGTTGGAGCTAACCCGCCGAGCGCCTGCAGGCGGCGCGCCAGCGGCGGTTGGCAGAGGAGCAGACGCTGGGGGTGTCGATGAGCGCCACGCAGCAGCGCAAGAGCCGGGGCCAGGCGTGTGACGAGGGTCGGGCGGCGGACGTTTTGCGCAGTTCACGGGTGGCTGTGGTTGTCAAAACCAATGGGATCCGGGGGTACGGGATTTTGACCCATGGCCAAAGGACGAAAACGGGGGTACCTTCAAACAAAATACATGTATCGGGATGCAAGAACCGAGAACATAGCCGGTTGGAAGGATTGAACATTGCAGTCATGGGCTCTTGCAAGGGTGCTCCGATTCAACTGGTGTACTGATCTGGCGGGGGATTTTGAGAAGCCCCCAAAATTGTGATGCAAAATGCGCTCAAGCCCTTCCAAACTGATAGGGAGGACCCTCCAAAGTAAATGGTGGAAATGAATGCCCGCCTGAATCGTGTCCTGTTTTTCCCGATTAGTACCCACACGGCCACTAACATGAAAAAGGCCTGAGTATTCCGTGCTATGGAATTGTGGCGACAAAGCCTTGCGCCGAGTGCGTGGTTGTATTGGTGTTCTTCTAGAAAACAGGCGGGATTCAATTGGATTGGTTCTGCTCACTCACTCGTTTACTCAATTCTTTCCAAATGAACACCTAGATTTCTGTGGGGTTCCACCATGTTTTTTTCCTGGGTTACACTTGTTCAGGTTTCCGCACAGCGGAAGAAGCAGGCGGAGGTGGCGCGGAAGCGGCGGCCAAAGGCAGGTCTGCGAGCAAAGCATGGTTTGGAGCTCCAGAGTTTTGCGTTCCAAAGAGTACTTGGATTGTGGATGTACATTGGCCACAGTTCCTCCTCTCTTCATCAGTCATCCCAGGCCTTTTCTTTGCCACCTGTTTGGCCGGGTTGCACACTTGGACCATGTTTTTTTTTTTGCGGGTAGCCTTTCCGGGTTAGATTGGAGGAAGAAAGGAACCCAACCATTTTCGAATGTTAGAAGACATGCCGTGTCGGCCTCCTAAAGGCTCACGGAGGTCGCGTGCGGCGCGTGAATTGAGCTCGGACATGTGTAGCCACTTGCAGCCACTCAAGTGACCGCAGAGCCCGCGAGTGGTCGCAAGTGGCCGAACGTGGCCGTAAGTGTCCGCCCGCCAGCCTCTGGCCAGTCGCTGCAAGTGGCGCGCGCGTGCCTCGTGCCTGCTTTGATCGATGATGCAAGCTGCAAGTGGCGCACATTCTTGTGCTGAAAGCTCGTGTCGTGCGAGGGCTTCTTTTGCGCCCCCACAGGGATCACAGGGCTGCCCACCCACCTGCGATGGATGCAGTATTTCTGGCTCTGCAGGGTATAAGCGCTGACACCTTTTTCACCACAAAATGTGCTGCTGCTGAAATCTCGTGCAACGCTGCTGGCGCATTTGCCGAAACAAAGGGCTGCTTACCAATGTCGCTGCGTGCAATGCGGCCACTTGCAGCCACGGCCGCAAGTGGCCGTGGCTGCAAGTGCCCAAGTCAAAATGATGCACTTTTGCACGCCTGCAAACCATCCGAGCAGATCTGACCTCTCGGTTTCCCCCTTTTTCTCAACCATGTTTTGTTATGGCAACCCAACAGGTCGCTCATTTTCAGCAATGTCTAGTCATGCTTCCAGTCAGTCCCCTGTTAATTTCTGGGTCGGGCAGACCGTTTCAAGGGCTTGCCCGTGCGGAAGGAGCCGGACATCTTGAACCTGGGGGAAGGCGCGCGCGAGCGCCGGGGGATGGTGGTGCTGCCCAAGAAGCGGGTCAGGGCCTACGCGTGAGCCGAAGGCCGAAGGGCCGAAGGCCGCGGCGGCGAAAGGGCGGAGTTGAGCCGACGGCGGGTCTCACGCGAGGCCTCTGAAATGGGTAGCGTCCCTCTAGTTTCCTTGAAAAACCAACCCAGAAAAGGGTGCTTCGACAAATGCCCACATGGATAGTACCAAAAAAGATTGGGGGTCGGGCTGGTTTCGTTTGCTTGGGTTCGTGTCGTTGAAGGGAACCAAAAGACAGGAACCCTGGGTTCAAACATCCAAAGCAGCGACCGCATGCCACAAGGGGCCCACCAATGCCCACAAGGTATAACAGGGACTGGACTAACAACGATTATTAAGGCACAGCAGGGCCGATATTGGGGTCTTTCTATTGTTGGGGGGCCCCTTGACAGTCACAGAATCAAGGGCTGCGATGTGGTGCATTTTTAAGGGAAGTCAACACCCAAAAGTGTTTTTTTCTTTTTAGTCTCCCTTAACACAGCCAAGAAACCGATACCTTCAAAAACGGTCGGACGTGGCGATGTTGAGATCCCTGGCGTCGACTTTGCACAAGTCGCGGTGCTTCGCACAGTGAACCCGGCGTACTCTGAGACACCCTCAAAGCTCCGGAGACAAAGCAGCGGTCCGGCGGTGCGTTGCTGTTGCACTGTTCCTTGGCCCGCCAAATCTTCGAACTGCTCCTAATGCGGCCCAACCACCCCAATGTGTTTGCTGGCGGAATGGTTACGACCGCCCCGCAGAAAGGCAAACATGCTGTTACCTTCATCCGAACGGACCACCTAAAGCAACCGAGGAGTACAAATGGAGGCTTCCCTTCTATTAGGGAATTATTAGGGGCCCCTGGATGAGCTTATTGAACAGAAACACAAGAAACTCAACCATTTGTGACTGTTGGAGTCCTCCATTTTTTTCCAACACATGTTTCGGGTGGATCGCCAGGACCCTCTCGTCAAGATGCCGCCCTGGCGCAGAAAACCTCCAGCAAAGGCGAGGCGCTATTGAAGTGAAGTTGGCATGGTCTCGTTGTTCGACTGACTTGCTCAATGGCACCTTTTCCTTCTTTTGGCTTGATGGGTTCCGCCCAGGGCTTTCTTTTTTCTGCCAGGGTCATTGGGCAGCAGGATAACGGCATCGCATTCAACCCGATCAGCAGGAGCCAAATCAAGTGCACAGTGTTGTACCCTTCGCCCTTTGCTGGTACTGGCAGTGCTTGAAGCGTGACAATTTGAGAAGGGTAGAAGATCGCCTGAGCCGGAGGCAATCTCCATTCGGATAGTTGGAGGGTAGCAACCGTAAATAGATTCGGCCGCCTTTGTAGATCCTTACATTGTGTTGGGTGCAAGGCATGCTTGGCCATGGGCTCGGCCTCTCCACTTCCGCTTGTTTTTTTTTCTTTGTCAAGGATTCTATTGTTCGCAAGGCCCATGTTCGCTCCAAATGAGCGGGAACAGATCCTCCATATCCCCCCTAAATAAGTGCGGATTTCTGCCCTTTCAATTCTTTACATGGCTTCGAGCACAGACCTGAATACCAAGTTTGCATTAGGCCGCACATGGGACCTCCTAAAAGACACCCACCATCAAGCTGCTATTTTCTTAGAACCCTTGTGGCCCCAAAACCACCACACCGTACCCCATGCTGGTGTTTCTGTCTAATTCCACCTCCAAACCACTTCCAGGGCTTTGATAAAAAAGGCCACTATCTACACAACTCAGGGCTTTGGGCGGAAAAAACCCACTACCTACAGGGTATCCCCATTTTCCATTGAGGGATGTGCCCTTCGCAACCACTAATTCCAGGGCTTTGGGCGAAAAAAAGGCCACTACCTAAGGGGTATGCACCCCATTTTCCAGTGAACAATGGTGGCCATGGGTCGAAATCCCAATCGTACCTTTCCCGGTTTCCATCCCAATCCCCACTAGAATATCTAAAATGGGTGGAGCACCAGGCCCCCAAAATAGGATCCTCAAACGGTTTTGACCCACTACTCTAAGGGTAATTCTTCCAGGGATCCTTCTTTCTAGCAAACCACCAAAATCCCTGGGGAAATCGCTGGTTTTTATCAGAACTTTCTAGAAAATCACCAAACACCCTGGGAAAAAGACTGCGGAATCAATTTTCTAGAGCTCTCTAAGGGGTATGCGCCCATTTGTTCCTTTTGAAAAAAATGGTGCAAGGGCCGCTGTCGCCAGGCCCAGGCCCCGAGCGCGCCGAAGCGGAAGGCCAGGGCACCCAACGCCCACGCCTGGCTCCGCAGGAACCAAGGCGCGACACCGGGAAAGGGCCCAAGGGGTGGGGTACCTAGGTGTCCTTTCTACTTCCCCAGCATTAGTTCCCCCTTTATTCCTGTTTTTTGGGGGGGCTTTTTTGGGGGTTCCCTTTGTTTTCCACCAATCAGGCAAAAAAAACAACAACATTTTTTTTGCTGGGGTCCTAATTCCAGCCAAGTTTCATTCGGTTAGCTTGCTTAAAACATAGATGGCACGGGTTTAGGTGGGGTGTTTTCCATTTACCAGGGCCAGCTATTTTTCAAGAAGGCCGCCTATGGGTGGGTACGGTTCTGGAGGCTACACTCTTTCTATCGGTTTCAAGGGAAGCCAGCAGGAGAACCACTATCTTGTTCTCCCCCCCCATTACACACTTTTTGGGGGCTTTACAGTGAACCAAGAGGAGAACAACCATTTTGGGGTCCCCTGTTTTTAGTGACACCCAACTGGAAGCAACGGTTTCCTTCCAAAAGGCGACAGGAAGGTACCCGTTTTGGTACCCATTTTCGTTCCCGTTTTGGTTTGCTTTGAAGGGGATGAGCCGTCAAAGCCTGAGGGAAGGTTTGGTTGAAGGTTCGTAAACTTACGTGTGGGAAATGCGGGGCCAAAACTTAGGAATCCCTCCAGGTGCTGGGCTCCTTTTGATCTGTCAAACAATCCACAGAGGCGAGGGCCAGCCCCATTTCGCGAGACAATTCGTGCTGGTACTCTTGGCGCTATGACCAGGGACCCCAGCAAACTCAGGAGGGTTCACCATTTGATTGCACAGACACCGGATGTCGACTCATTGATGGCATTCTTGGGCAGACCCTTGGTTGACTCAGGGGGGGGTGCTTCATGAGGAATGGAGGCCCAAAGCAAGGACAGCCGGTCAGGCGTGTTTGTGGGGGTGGGCTACTTTTCGATACAGGCGAATGCCGCAAAGTAGTGATGGGCATGGGACTTCGCAAGGATGATTGTCGCCCATGCCACAGCTTCGCTTTGGCCCAGGAGGCGGTGTCGAGGACTGGGAAGTCGGCTATGAGAGGGTAAGCCCACTAGATCGGAATCTTAGGTTGTTTGAACTCTGGCTTGAACCCATCCCTTGGGCTCAGCCCAAATGGACTTCGTGTGCTTAAGATGATTTGCCAAGGATTTGGCCCAAAGTGGTTTCCCAATTGAAATACCCCTGATGAACATGGCAGGCGATGGTTTTTGGAATTTCGATTGGAAGTCCTCCAATTTTGGGGACCGCACACTCTACCGCCCGGGTTGAGCCCTGGGTTAATTCATGTTTCCGGATTGATATATCTAGCGATTGTTTTTGAGGCGGATCCTGCCAGATCCCCAAGCACTGAGTTGCAACTGCTTTTTCATCACCTGGGAATATTAACTTTGGGTGCCCATCACAATGGAGCCTCCTCATAATTTGAAAACCCAGCGGTTCGCACCAACAGTTCGGAATGAGCTCTATATTTGACTGGGATCTTTGGGTCATCTAACAGACATGGACTGGGTGGTCACTGTGGCAGGCTTGTTTGAAGGAAACCAATTGGGTCACATTTGCATGTCGTCCACGCCGCTTTCTTTCGTCTTTTCCCCGAAGAAGCCCCCCCCAGCCCCCTATTTTCCAGGGAGTTGGGGGGCCCGATCGGCCGGGAATTCCGTGCTTGGTTCCCTGTTTCCCTGACAACTCTTTGAAATATAACTTATGGACATCACCGCCCCATGCTCTTCACCCATCTTTAATTGGGATCGCCCTTTTACCCTTTTTTGGGGGAGGGTTCCCCTATACTTAAATAGACTATAGAAAAAAGGGTACCTATTTTCTAAACTCTCGACTGGAGGACCTAGTAGACATGTCGTGAGTTTGCGGTGATGTTCGAATCACCGCCAGGAGTTTGCGGCCAAGCCGGAGGGCCCGCCGTCGAAGAAGCCCAAGGTTGAGGTCAACAGAGGCGGGAGATGTGCCCGCCTCGCGCATAGACGTTCTATGTACTCACTATGGCCAAGGGGTAGAGTCCACTCAAGCTTCATTCAGTTTCAATGCGAATCAAATTCACCGGTCAAGTTCCACTGACTGCGATTGCCCAAAGGCTCATGACTCCTCCACAGGTTTCTTTGACTCAAGGGAGAACCCCAAATGAAATTTGGCACCCAAAGGAGTTTCTGCCCAGAGGGTCTCCTTTCAAACAAAACTGTGCGGAGGCTTCGTCAAGGAACTCCTCGACAAGGCTGGGTGTGTTAAAACGGAGTGAGGTTGGGCTTGTTTCCTTGTTTGATGTTAAAACACTGTTTAGACAAGCTTCTAAGGTCCTGGTTCCTGTTAAAACACATGTACCACCCAACCCTGATTCGAACCCCCTCCCAAATGGGTTTGTTGAAATCCTGGGCCCAGCTCAAACCGAAACTGTGTGATTTAGCTGCCCGGACCACTACCCGACTTGATTGTTTCCATGGTCGGTGGTCGGGTTGCTTTAACAAACTTCAAGTGGGCCTGTTTGAGGCATAGCTGTTTGTTCACGGGCGATTTTGTTGGGCGATGGCACTTGGACCCATCTTTGGCAGCTTTTCGTGGAACCTTCCTGAAACCCTTTCCATTTGTGAGCCGAGTCAACTCGATTCCGCATGCCCAAGAAATATGAAGAACCACCCCCCAGATTCAGAGCTTTGAATGCCTGGACAAGATCCCATTATTATCATAATTATTTTCGGGGGTCACTTGTTGGGATGCTCGTTTTTTTTTTTTTTTTTTTTTTTTTTTTTTTTTTTTTTTTTTTTTTTTTTTCGGGGTATACACAAGTCTGGACTTTTTGCAGATTAATTCCCCCTCCGAGGAACCGGGCCCTTCGGGTGAGTCATTTGGCGCGTGCCAGGCTCCTTCTTCGCTTCAGACGCCGGGGCGCTTCAGATGCTGATGGCCGGCGGAACTGGATTCTCTCCCCCGCTTGCCCGGTGGGTTCCTTTTTGAGGGTGCCCTATTTGTATTGTTTGTGAGGGAAGCCAAAAGAATCCAACTGTTTTGGGGGGGGTTCCTCATTTAGAGAGCACCCGAGTGGATTCCATCCTTGTGTCATGCTGGGTTGCCTTTGGTCGGACAACCAACAAGCCAATCGTGTCCCTTTTCCTCCACTGAACAATTGATACAGTTTGAGAAGATAATTTCATTGTGAAGCGAACTCAGGAAGGGAAGAGTTGATCAATTGCCGATTGGTTCAGTTTCCTTTTCCCATCTACAGGAGCACAGCAGCTTCCTACTTGAGGTTCTTCTGAGCCACCTGCCCCGTCAAGCATCCCAAATGCCCAAGCCGACAGCGGCATCCCGGAAAGTCCCCTGACCCGATACGGGGCCTTGAGGTGCCGGAGCCTGCTGGTCTTCCTGGACAAGAAGGCGGAGGCGGGGTAGCGATGTGGGGAGAAGCATTTGGCCGTGGCTGTCAAAACCGTTTTGGGATCCCATTTTGGGGGCCTGGTGCACCACCCATTTTAGAACCCATTTTAGTGGGGATGTTCACTGGGGGTGCGATTTGGATTTTGACCCATGGCCATATGGTGGTCATAAAGTCCCCAAATGATGTCCACCAAAATTCAGGTTACCCATTCAGGTTTCACATGGAATCCTAGATATCCCTCCCCCCCAAAGACCCCTCCCGTTAAGGCCTTGTTTGGCTTTATCTGGCCGACCAGCGGGTCTATGGGGTTGGATTGCCTTGTGGGAGATGCTCTGCATAGCGTATCCGAATCCAACTCTACCATTCCTTAACACGTTTTTGAAGCATCCACATGAGTCGGCTTGCACAGTTTCTGCAACCACCATACAACACGCGAATTATCTTGGAGGAAAAGTCAGATGTTGACAGATATCTCAAAACAGCGGCCGCTTTGCGGCAAGGACTAGCAGCACCGCGAGTCGCGAGATCAATTCAACTCGAGGCAGTCGGGCTTGTCCGTTTTGCCACTCATGGAGTGCTCGCCTCAAGGTGCAGCTCACTCTTTTTCACATTTTGCAGGTAGGCCAGGAATTTGAATTTCAACAAAAACCAGGCATTTCAAAACCCAAAAGCTTGTCCAAACAGAGCCTGGCTCTTCCTTTCAGGCCGTGCCTGAAAAGCCGGCCATGGGTGGCCCTGAGGCCAGCTGCCGGCTGTTTGCCGGGGCGGGGACACGGAACGGTGGCAGCTACCAACCCGAACAACAAAGCTGCGGTGCCCTCGAAATGTTCGCTTTAGAGGGGTTCTCGAAATTATGTAGTTATTGTGTGGTGATTCCTTTGTGGGGGGTCTTTCCGAGTATTCAACCAGAGTTGTCTCAAACTGGTGAGCCAAGAGGGCGCATGCCACTTCGCATTTAATTGAGAGAACCCCATGTACCACAGGCTTCTGAACTCAAGTTCGACCCCCGGTGGACGCCCGGACGGTCAGCTTGCAATCAAAGCCCAGCTCAAATCTTTTCGAGTGGTCTAGTTTCCTGGGAATTGGCTTATAATTTGAGGCAATCAGTTGCGGCATCCAATTCGGGGGGGATACAAGGGGCGTGGGTAGTTGAGAGCCCTGGGTTCCTTCGGTTTCCTTTCGGAGCCTAAATCGGCCAAAGGACACAGCCCTGCGCTGCTTGCACCTGTGGCGTGCAGGACCTCCGAGCTCGCTTGGAGGCCCATGCGGAGAGTCTGGGGCGCCCGGGCTCCCAGCAATGGTGAGAGTAACGCCTGCCCCGACTCGATGGAAGCGCAACCCATCGGCGCAAGGCACATGACCCTTCCCCTTATCATGGGGATTGGGGGGGAGGGAGCAGAGGGAGGAGGGAGCCCAAATAAGCCCTTCAGCCCTTAAGGCCTTCTTATTTGGGCTCCCTCCCCCTCCCCCCCAGCCCCCAAAAGCGCCGGGAGCACCAGTGGCAAGGACTCGTCCGCGGGCGCCGGGGCATTGGCAACGGCTTCTGGGTTTTGCTGCGATATCCGGGCCCTTGCCTCATGCAGATTCCTCTCATAGGGAACCCTTGTCAAAGAGCGTTCCTATGAACGGAACCTCCTTACTGTTACTTCGGTGAAGTTTCAGAATTCTCCCAGATGGAATCCAGCATTGCAAACTCCCGTTTTCAGCCAATCAATCGTCCACTCGCGCGCAAAGCGCACGGCTCGAGGCTTGGATGCGCTGCGTGCGACCAGTGGCTGGGATGCCCGAGCCAAGCGTGCACCCTCCCGCAAGTTGTCCCGAGACAAGCGTGCAGGGCCAGGGAGGCCTCCTTCTGGGCGTTTTGTTTTGGCGGGAAGAGGCCTTTGCATGGTTGTTGTTGGGGAACATTTTACATTTTTGCATATTGTGTTTTAGTGGGACATCCCCACCTAACTGACTTAACTGCTAAAATTTATCTTTTTGCTCCCCTTCCGACGTCAACCAAGTTTGGGAGAGGGAGGTGAAACAACGATTGAGAGTCAGGAACATCGACATTACGAGTAGAAGGGCGTGTTTTTTCATCGCATTGCGTTTGCCTGGCATTTGCTGGTTGAGTGGGTTCGTAGGAGGGGTACTTACAAAATTGAGCAGCAGATGCGCCACAACAGGACACATCGCTTAGGCAGATGGGAAAATGAGGTGCCTTAGGCACAGATCGGCCGGAGAGCTTGCCCCCGTGTCTCAGATCGCTTGGAGCTTCAGTCAGTTTTTCCAAGCGGGAGCGTGGCCGGGCACACTTCTGACACATCTCGCAAGCTCAAGAGCGAAAACATGTTTTGTGGATTGCGCTTTTGGTGTTTGGTTGCAAGCCCCAAAGAAAGGGAAGACGTTCTTCGGGCCTCAATGCCAGCCAGCACACCGGCTTCCCTGCATGGATCATGCCCGGCCAATTGGGAGGGGAGTTCATCGCTGGGGATACGCTGAATTTAGTCTTGTTTCAACATACCGAGGTGCCATCTTGAGTACCATTTCTTGCGCCACAGCCAAGTTACTTCGGGAGAGAGCCTCTTACTCGAGCATGTTCCGTAGCCATTTGCACTGTGACACCGGAGCCAACCAAAAGCACTAGTTTGTGAAAAGGCCACACGGGCCACGAATAGCACGCGTAATCGAGGCTATACCTCCCGATGAGTGTCATCCATGTTTCCCCCCGAAGTTCGGCAACTGCGAGCGCCCCATGGTGAGACCCGTGTGCACGTTAGCATAGTGTTTCTCGATTTGCGAGTGCCAAAACAGTGGCACGCCCGAAGATGCGCCAGACCTCAATCTGCAATTTCTTTGCTTGCCTCCCAATAGGTTTTCTGACAATGAAACAAACACTGGACAGAAACGGGGGCGTTTTGTTTGGGGTTCCACGTGAATACACCCAGGCTAGAAACTGGACCCCTGTTTCCTCCCCAAATTAAACTGGGAACTCTTCACTTTTCGAGTCAGCCGTCAACGCTGCCCTCCAAAATTGAACTTGAGCTTGCTTTGACGTTCGGCACCCCTTTCCCCCATTCACTTTACACAACCTGCAGGTTCGATCAGAGTCTCGGAGATCTGTTGGAACTGATTCAGTTGGGTCAAAGTCCCGAGCCACATCCTGTCCTTAGAGATCTCTTGGAACACGGGATATAGCCATAGGTGTTGTTATTTTGGTTATTACACTGGTTTAGGTTGGTTTTATTCCATTTGCAGGGCCTATGGAGAAAACTGGAATTCACGCCTGGCGGCCCGACTCATTTGATTGTGTTGCGACCGGTTCCGCATGGCCGGGCCCTATGCCGTGGACCGCACCCAGCTGCCCCGACGGGGCGCTGCAAGCCAAACCCCCCGACGCCCGGCCTCGGCGGGACTGGCCGTGCCGGTCTTGGAGAAGGAGAGGCGTGTAGATTCTGCGGACTTTTCTAGGGCTTGAGTCCTCTTCCATTCTCTTCAACCATCGTTCTGTTCAAAAACCGGCCGTTTCCCCGGGTGTTTTGATGGTTTCATGAAACAATTGATCCCTGGAAAGAAGGGGGAAGGTACCCCTCGAACTATGTGTTCCTTTCATTTGTCTTGTGTTTGGGTTACTTAAACCGTTCCTTTTCCCGGTTTCATGTGTGTGTGTGTGTGTTGCCTGGCGGGAAAAGATGTCTTTAGCCCGTCCTTTGTTTTCATTTGTTGCTCTGCTTGCTTTCCCTCAAAACCGCATGAGCAACAGTTCAACACATGAACGAACCGTGTCTTACGCGGCTTCACACTACATTACGTGAGGGAAGATGCAACATGATATGATAGGGACCTTGCAAAACGACAGCATGAACTTGGGACGGTGTAATGTCAATCCAGTATCACGCTTTTTCTTTCTTTAGAATGTTGGTGTACTTTCAAAACCAACCAAGCAAACAATCGTGAGAAGAAGCACTGGGCCTTAACCCCAGAACGACTCTCAACCCCAGATTAATACCCCCCTTGTTGATTCACAGGGGGGGTGTCCCCTTTCAGTAGGGATTCATCACTTTTGGAGCATCCCCCACCCCCCTATGAATAGAACCGGTTTAATCCGGGCCAGCAGAAAGTGTGCGCTTGGGCCATTGGGCCTGCCGTTGGCAAGGAGAAGCGGGTGCCAGAGACCAGCTTTAAGCTGCCCGTGCCGAAGGAGTTGCAGTAAGCGAAGACGCGGGATGGGGAAGGCTGGCTTTCGTACCATCCAAAAATCGACACATCCGCTTTTACACCTCTAGGAATCCTTGAGTTTTGGGGAAACGCCGCCTAAGGTCGAAGTGTCCAGTGTCGACATTAGGGCAATGAACTGGTGACCTGGGGAACGGGGAAGAGGCCGTTTCATCTTAGAAGAAGTAAAACATGGACTCCGGGTGCCGAGGTAGCTTTAGGCTCGTGATGGAAAAAGATGCCAAGGGGAAATCAACACACCAGTTGGGGCAGTTGGGGTGCCTATTCTGGCGCATGGCCAACTTGTGCTGTGGTTTTCTGGATTTGGAAGAACAACTTGCTTGTTCATTGGGAACAGATGCAGCAGGACCACAGACAAGTTGTTTTATGCTGTTTTGGGGACGGATTTGAGAAGCCAAGGTGTCCATTTGGGTCAGTTTGCCCCCAGATGGATTGGTTTCAGCCGGGTTCAAATTTACCAGTGCTTTTTCCCTAAACGTGTGCCTAGCCCTGCGGTGCTTGCGCGAACCACCCTATGGCAACCCTGGGCTTAAATTTTGGAGTTCCATGACACATGACATCGTGTGCAACAGGAATATTATTTTCACATGGCCATTTTCCCTACTTACTTGGCTATTGCAACATGACGCTCGATTCATGGAGTATCTTCTTTTGGTGGGCATGGACACGTCTTGGGATGCATACAAGAAGAACTGTAGGTCAAATCCTAAAGGGCTAAGTTTTTAAGAGCCGCCGCCTAACAAGAGCCAATCACACTCGCCTCATGCAGCTGCCTCACCCAACTAAGTTTCTAGTCCTCACACCCGCCTTTGGTCTGGAATGCCAAGCGCATTCACCAACGGAGCAGGGAATTTGGATCAGGAGGTGGACGTGGATCCGGAGCTACCAGAGGTGGAGGTAGAGGAGCCGCCAGTCCCTGCCGAGGCGCGGCTTCGGTGTCTTGAATTCGGCAATCGCTTGCCCAGAGCGAATCGACCTTTTGACCTTTCATCTTGCCCCCGTTGGTCGATTTTTTGTCTAGGTTCCAAAGAGTTAGCCTTTGTATTTTCATGCTTTAATGAGGGCAAGTGGGGGCACGATCCCACTTTTGGGTGTTTTGTTTCTTCAGGTTCAAGGCCCGAATCTTTTGGTCTTTGAAAGGAAACCGCATGGTTTCGTGTGGGAAGGGTTCCACTGGAAGGAAGCCATCCAGGGATCCAGCCGAAGAGGCCGAAGAGGCCGCTGAAGAGGCGATCGACGCGATGGAGCCGGAAGAGGCCCAGGTGCAGACGGTGCAGACGGCGCCGGAGGTCACTTGACCGGAAAGACGGGACACGGTTTTGGCGAGCTGAAGATGCCACAAAGCCATGCACTCAAAAAGCAAAACCCACAAGTGATCTACAGGCTTCTTGAAGCAGGCCTCTCTTGTGTTTCTTGATTGGACGCGGCGTTGCTCCGTCAAAAGTATTGCCTTGTTGTGGGGCAATTAGGCTCCGCTCATCTTTCCTTCGTCTTTTTTTTGCAGAGTGGGGGTAGGCAACTTGCCCCTACCACAGAACCTCATGTGTTTGAGGGGAGGGGAGTCCTTGTGTTGGTTGGTTGCTGTGGTTGTGGTTGGGGTTCTTGTTCTTGTTCTTGTTTAGTTGTTTGTGTTTTCTATTGTTGTTTTTGTTTTTAATGGCCCCGAGTTGTTTTGCTAGGTTTGGCGGATGGGGTCGTGGCAGGGTCCACATCCTCAGCTTCACCATCAACCCTGAGTAGCATCACTGCCAGGCTAGTGCTTGTAACCCGCCCCAAACCGCCACGCAAGTAAAAGCATCCCAAAACCAGCCGAAATCTACCAGACCCCCCCCCCCCCCGACCAAACCTACCCCAAACACGCACTAAAGAAGCGCTAAGCAAACCCTTTCCCAACCCTAGACCCACCCCCTAAACCAACCCTAAGCCCGCACTACACCCAGCTTAAACCACAACTAAACCCACACTAAAGCTGCACAAAAAGAAACCCCACGGAAACCCTACACCGAGCCTAAATCAACCAAAATCCAACCCTAAACCCTACCCTAAACCCACCCTAAATTAGGGACCCTAAACCCGAAGCGAAACCTAAGCAAACCCTATACCAACCCTAAACCAAACCAACCCTGAACCAGCTTTAAGCCAGCGCTAAAGCATCCTTAAACCAGCCTACACCTATCCTAAACCCACCCTAAGCCAGCCCCAACCACCCTAAACCCACCCTAAAGCCCCACTATACCCAGCATAAACCACAACTAAGCTACCGCAAACCCCTCTCCTTGAAGTGAAGACGAGATTTGGGAACTTGTATTTACTTCTGACCTTATGACTCCATCAATTATTAAATCTGGAAATCTTCAAAATGAGATTTGTGAAAGTGATAAAGCTATAGAAATATAATGCATTCCTTATCATTCCTCCAATCTTCATTCTTCGTACTTTAGTAGTCTATATTGGTGAAGATTGGTGAGGGATAACTATGATATTTCCACTTTATAGTGCTTGTACTAATCTACATGTTGATAGTTTTCTTGCTTCAGGATCTTTGGATAAAGGTATTATCAGGTTTGCATTGTAGGCCACACCCTAAACAAACCCCAAAGCTACCTTAATCCACCAATAAACCAATTCGTAAAACCAACCCAAACCTGCACCAGGAAACCAGCCCTAAACCACCCGTAAACCCTGAGCAAACCTATACCAAGCCTAAACCCTAAACCAACCCTGCACCGACGCTAAACTAGCACTAAACCTTCCCAACAAAAACTCTAAGCCAACCTAAACCCAGCAAACACCCAGGCAAAGAACCGCAAACCCCGCCCAAACCCACCCTCAACAATCCTTGAACTCCCTGTCTAACCAAAGTTTCTGGTGATGCCGGGGCGGGGGGGGGGGGGGGGGGGAAACGATGCTTGGGATGTTGACGGTGCTATTTTGTTTGCAAATGCTGTAGCATGCGTTCATTCTGGCGCCTGACACCCTTCCGCCAGTGTGTTTTGTTTTGCTTGTTTGTTTGTTGTTTGTTTGCTTGCTTGCTTATTTGTTTGTGTGCTTGTGTGTTTGTTTGCTTGTTTGATTGTTTGATTGTTTGTTTGTTTGTGTGCCTGTTTATTTGCTTGCTTGCTTGCTTGCTTGCTTGCTTGCTTGCCTGCTTGTTTGTGTTGCTTGTTTGCTCGTTTGCCAATTTGATTGATGGTGTATTGTTGTTTGTTGTTTTTTTTGTTGCCGTCGCCGCCGTCGTCCTTGTTGTTGTTGTTGTTGTTGTTGTTGTTGTCGTCGTCGTCGTCGTCGTCGTCGTCGTCGTCGTCGTCGTCGTCGTCGTCGTTGTTGTTGTTGTTGTTGTTGTTGTTGTTGTTGTTGTTTGTGGTCGTCGTCGTCGTCGTCGTCGTCGTCGTCGTCGTCGTCGTCGTGGTGGTTGTTGTTGTTGTTGTTGTTGTTGTTGTTGTTGTTGTTGTTGTTGTTGTTGTTGTTGTTGTTGTTGTTGTTGTTGTTGTTGTTGTTGTTGTTGTTGCAGTCGTCTTCGTTGTCGCTGTCGTGTTTTTCTTTCTCCGTTTATTTGTTTCTTGTTGCTGTTGTTGTTGCCGGAGATTATTGCTTGTCATTGTTCGTTGTTGCTGGTTGTTGCTGGTAGTTTTCGGTTGTTGCGCGTTTTGTTGCTTGTTTGTTTGTCTGCTGTTTTGTTTGTTTGTTTGAATCGGCGAGGAGAGGGTCAGGGCGAGGGTCCTTCTGCCAGGTTTCGGCACCGGCGAGCCGGCTGCCCAAGCCCACAGAGGTTTCGGCAGAGACGGAGGCGAACGGCTCGCGAGCAGGCGGGGCCACGGAGGGCGTGTCACCAAAACCTCGCTGGGTGCTAAGTAGCCCAAAATTGGAAAATCCCCCTGTCTCCTGAAAGGGTCTTATTTGAGAGGGTGTTATCTGTCATTCGTCCCAAAAAAAAACAGGGTAGTCTTTTCCCCGGACCCCGACTATTCAACACCCAGCTGAGGGCCAATACTCTCTGTGTCCTCCTTGAAGGGCACCACCGGCATCACCGCCCAGGTTCTCTGCATTTGTTTTGTTTGGCGAACCAAGGCCCTGGTGGTGTAGATGAGTTGGAACCCTAGTGGATGAGCGTAGGAAGGCAGGGAAACGCATGGTGGACGCGAGTTTATGTCCTTGGCCGCGTGCTGCCAGGTCTGTGGCAAGAAGAGGAGTCTTTTGGACACAATTTTTTCCGGAACTTAGTTGGAGCCGCTTTTGGATTTTGTTTCTTTAGCACCTGGCCACCTGGTCTTCAACTTAAAGAAGCACCGCAGGGACTGCAGGGGGGAACCTTATCCACTTGGAGGTGGGCTTGGCTTGTATTTGACCATTGGTGGCACTGGTTCCGTGATTCGACTTGTGGTTGGACACGAAAGGTTGAGCTCGTTTGGCTTTGTCAAATGTTTGCTTGGTCAATTTCTACTTGCCAGTGCCTTTGATAATGTTGAGAATGCCGTTGTTTTGAGGGTTGCTCAACGGGAAACCAAGGGAACCCAAAGCCCATGAAAGTTCCACTCCCATTTCGAGGCAGTCAGTTCGTTTTTGTATCACAGAAGGAGCGGCCATTTTTCACCATGTCCAGCAGGGTTGGCCAGCGGTGCTCGGATTGTTTCAATCAAGTTCGCCCATCAAGCACCTCGTAACAAAAAACACGTAGGTGTATACTCGCGGTGTAAAGAGGTTGGAGTATATTTGATACCCCAGAATACATCAGAATACAGTTTAAGGGTTGAGCTCCTTTTGAGGGACCGCTTGTTTGACTTCCATGTTAATTTGGTAGTGTCTGTGTTTGAGGTACCCCTTTTGGAGTGGTTTCAAGGGGAATCTAAAAAGAAGCACACCATTTTTGTTTAGCAGATCTTAAAACCACTCTGCCTCAGTATTTGTGTTTGTTTCCGAGTAGGTGATTTCATTTGGGTTTCCCTTTAACCGCCTAAAAGTTCTTGCCGAGCCTCCAGAAAAGCAGACCCCCCAATTTTTTGCGGCACCCTAACAAAGTGAAAGATGGTGGAGTATTTTCCTTTGGATTCAAACCGACCCCCGCCATTTTTGCGGGGTGCCGAGCCCGCCCATTTCCCTCTGGCAGGCGCCGCGTCCCAGCCCCGCGCCGGCCTCAAGCAGCGGCCATCCGACAAAGCCCAGCGAGCGCCTGCGCGGCAACGCACCCCCCAGCGGACGGGCGCGCCCGGCGCGCCACTCGACCGGGCCTCAGTCGATGGGGAAACAGACGGGTCTTCTGTTGGATGGCGCGCAAAAAATTGGCGTGCCTTTTTGTTTGGCAAGCCATAGGCAGCCCGATCATCTTTGGTCGGGGAATTTGTATCATTCCAGGATTTGGTGGAACCTTTTTGCGATGTGTTTGGAAAAACACTGGCAAACCGAGTGGGTTCCCCTTCTTGACATTGCGCGAGACTTCCTCTGGCACTTGAAACACCATAGGCGTCCTTTCTAGGTCAGTTTGGTTGAAAGCAGATGGATCCCAGGTTCCAGAAGAGCATCTTTTTTTTCCAACTCATGGAAGTGACGGCCTTTTTCAGGAGGGAGGGACTTCCTAACCCCTTTGTCCCCTCAGATTCGTGGCACCGAGGACCGGTACCGCCTGCAGGCCGCGCGGTTCGGCAGCCCGCGCCCGGAGATGCGGGATGTGGCCAGCAGCCCCGTGTCCAACGCTTCGGGCCTGGAGGCGGCTCGCTCGGTTTGAGCCGAGCGGATGGCTGAGCAGTTTTTGGACTCAGAGTAGTAGCAAAGTGAAAGCCATGCACATGAACTGTATCTTATATATATATATAATACTCTATGTACATATATATAGATATACACTGTTATATGTATGATAGTGGAAACCAATCTGGTGGGAACCATCTGCTTGACTTGTTTGTGCCAATCTTGGCTAATTTAATCCAGTCAAGAGAAGAGATGATTTGGCTCTCAAGTTTACCCGGTGATGATTAGTTGAATATGTGCAGAACAACCTAGACCCAAGACCACAGGGGACCCGCACCTTCGGGGGGCGGGAAGGTGCAACACTGTTTCTTTTTAACCCTCTCAATGCTGCATGGTTTGCAAATGGGTTTCCACGCCAAGTAGTTTTGGGAACTCCTTCAAGCTGCAACTTGAAGGGACCCAGATGTGTTTTGCTTCAATTTCAGCCTCTTTGTCTGTTTCCTCGCGGCTACAGATCCCCCTCAAAATGCGCCCACTTTGGGGCTGGAACCCTGTCTAACTGGGTGTCAATATGGGTGTCTGTTTTTGAGGGTGTCCTTCTTGGACTTGGTTTAAAGGGGCCTCAAGGGAAACCATTAGGAATACCCAACTCCATCTTGGGGCTCCGATTCCTGTGACGGACGGCTCGGACGGCTTGCCTAAAAAAGCCCGAGGTGAACTCCTCGGAGTCGCTGAACGCGCTGCTGCGGGAGCTGGGGAACCTCCGGGAAGACTTCATCGTGGCCAAGCTGGAGAGCGAGCGCGCGAGGGAGCGGGTCTTGCAGCTGGAGGAGCGGAAAGCTGAGCGCGAGGGAGGGGATGGGAGGAGGTCGTTTGGGTTTGGCTGGCGGCGAGGTTTAAAGGGAAGCCAAAAAAGGACGCCGTGTTTGTGTCGGGGTTCCTCGATTTTGACACAGTTGGTTGCCGCGAAGACGTAAACTCAGGAATCTGTCCCCAGAAATGGGAGTTCTGAACGGTTCCTGGATTTCGAGACCCGGTCCCCTGGTGGGAAATCAAGATGGACCGCAGGCCCAACACCCATGGAGGGCGAGTGAGGGGGCGCTGGGCGAGTGAGGGGTCAATGCTGTTTCCAACATTGCACCCCATTGTCCCTTCGGAGTGGTGGCGGTGAATGATGGGCTTTGCCATTTGATGCCTTGTTGCCTTTTGATACACCTAGGTGCATTCACCTCACTGATTGTGCTTTGATATACCTTCTAGCAACCATTCAGGGTGCCCCCTCGATTTGTGTAGAAGCCTGTCTTTTCAGGGTTTGGCTTTAATTTCCGCAAAGCGGTCAACCGGCAACCCCTGGGTATGTGTCAAACCAGCGCGCTGCAAGGGGATTGAAGCCACCTACTTGTCCTTGTCCAGCGCACAGCAAAGGGGTCTTCAAAATTAAACCGCCACTTCACTGCACCAGTCCTGTCAAGTTTTGTTTTTAGTTCTGTTCATTTTAGTAGGGGGCAAACAAGGGTTGCTTGAACCATCAATGTTGGATGTCCCGAGCCAACGTGTCCACCAGAAGGTTGGCGGTTTCCTTGCTGATGCAATAGTTGTCTGAATGAACCCAGGCTTCGGTCCCCGAATAAAGGACACCACTGGCTGGATGGTTTTTGTTGGTCATTCAATGTCTCATTCCCTGCCTAGAACGAACCAGCAAGTTTCCAGTTTGCAGGAGGAGAACTGGGACTTGAAGAGGCAGCTTCAAGAGGCGGAGAGCGCCAAACGCCAGCTGCAGCACGAGAAGCAGGAGATTCCCAGCTTGGGCGCATGGAGGTGTTGTTTTTCAATTGGAATTTAAGGGTTCCCTGAAAGAAGCCAAAGGTTTCCAAAGCATCCTCTGTGTTTCTGTGCTCGTTATTCATGTTTCTTTAAATATATTGACAATAGAAAAAACAACACACCGTTGTTGTGCTGCTCATTCTACTTGTTGTCTGGGTTTTGGGCCGAAAGACTTTTCAATGATCCGCCTTGAAGTCAATCCGTCCTCTCCTGTGTGCATGCTGGAGCTGACCTGGCCCCACCCTCAGCTGAGACGGAGGTTTCTTAGACTTTGGCCACAAGCATATGCTACCTCTGAGTTGATAAGCCTGAAGCTGTTGGCAGGTTTCTTCCTCAGTTTAGTCAAGCCAAGGCCCAAACAGTAAAAGCTGTGTTTGGCCCAAGAAAACAGGTCTGCACGTATCATCAGCGTTGCATTCTGAATCAAAGTTCTGGATGCCAAATTAATGCCGAAGCAGGGATGTATCGAAGTATATGATCCAGTTTGAGTTGTTGATTGTCGTTTTGTTGACGGTTTGTCTTCTCTTCTTTTTCTTGTTTGTTTGGGCTTCTTGATCGTACGTTTGCTGGTGTTGTTCCTCCATTTATGTAATTGTGTTTTCAGTGTTTATTTTTTCTCTTTTGTTGCAGTGTTTGTTCATTGTTATGTTTGCGATGTTTGTTCCCTGCCTGACTGTTTTTACTGCTTTTTGTCCCCGCCCCCCCCCCCCCCCCGGTATTTTGTTCCAGTCTGTTGGTGTTCTTTTCAAGCGGTGCTCTGCTGAGCGTCTGTAATGGGCTGCATGTTTGGGACGTGCCGAGCCCATGTTAGATATGCAGCATGTTTTAGTAAATGTTTGTTTGTGAAAATCCACGCAAAGGACTCCTAGTTTTGTTTCGTCTCAAGTTGACACAGCATAAAATTGCCACTCCAAACCATCCCGACCCAGATTTGAGCCGCCACTTTTCATCACTTTTCTCACCAATCTACGAATCGTTGGATCTCGGCAGCATTGAAGGTGCAATCGAAGCTAAGTGAGTTTTTGCGTTCAGTTTTTTCCAAGTTTACCCCCATGTTGTTTCTTGTTTTTGTTGTTGAACGTGTTGCCATGGTTGTTTACGCGTGCTGGTGGCTTTTGTTTGTTGCTTTCCTTTTTCATTTATTTTCAGGTTTCCCGTTCTTAGAGGCTCTTGCCGCATCTGTTGGTTGCTTGGTTGCTATTGATTGCCTGTTTGACTTTTCGTTGTGTTCTTTGACTCTCGTTTTATTGCTTGTCCTCTTTGGTTTGTTGTGTGGCGTTTGTTCGCTTTCCTTCTCGTTGATTATTTTGTTTCGGTGTTTTTGCTGCTTGTTTTGTATTTTTGGATTCACCCGCACTTTATTACCTGCCGCACCATGTTCATTCTTTTCTCGGTCTACCCCTGGCTGCCTCTGTGAGCGCGATGGCGGCCGTGATCATTTGTTTGCTTCCCGGTTTCGCTTGGGCCGGAAACTGTGACAAGGGGGTTGGCCTGACACACCTTGATCAGTGACCGCCGACGGGGCGCGCTCCAGTGCTCAGGCGGAGCACGCCGACTCAAGGTTCAAAGTCTTTCTTTTCTGAATTCTGTTGTGAGCAGACATGAACAGCGCCTTCGGGTTTGTTTCTTGCTGTTGGTAGGGTAGTACCAAAGAAGGCAAACATACCAGATGTGACAGTTTTGTTTTGCCTTGTGGTTTTGTTGGGGTTGACAGCGCGATCTGGTGAAGCCATTTTTCGGTGCCGATGCTGATCAAAATGCGGAATGTCACGTTTTGTTGTTGCTGCTCATGGCTAGCGGTAAGGGGTAAGTGCATCCAAAACATCACAGACCACAGGCATACAGACGCGCTCAGAGGGCTTGGGCTGAAATCGTATCATGCCCAGACAAGGCGGATATTGAGTGGTTTTTGTTTATAAATAGGGGGGTGTCCCCCTCTAAAAGTGATGATTACCCACTAAACCCAGGGAACCCCTAGGCCTAAACTGGGGTTGCCTTAACACGGGGTCCACATTCGTCCGGGGAAGGACCTGGAGCATGCGAGCCTGCTGTGGCGGCAGCGGTGGGAGGACAGCCAGCAGCAGGCTGAGCAGTGCTGGTCCCGCTTCGACGCGATGCAGAAGCTGCTGGAGAAGGAAAAGAACCACAAGGAGGACTGGGGTAGACTTAGGATACATCTTACATTTTACCAGTGACTCAAAGTGAAGCAAACACTAAAATATGCATTCGTCAACTGGACCTAACTCTAATCATGAGGAGACAGTTGGGACTACAAACAGTACACTCCCTCAGACTAATATGTAAGCTCCCAGAAGGCATGTGTAAATGGAACCACGTGTTCCAAAGGGGTCTGGGAGCTTCCATATGAGTCTGGGGGAGGGTACCTCGCTACTTGCTCATGCCTTTGCTTCAAGGAGCAAAGCAAATATAGATGTATAATATTCTACACCTATTTTGGGGGACTTCACGGTTTTGGGAACTACAAATGGTTGCTTCCAGGTGTCCCAGAACGGGGACTACAATGGGTAGGTAGTTGCCCATGGCTTTTGGATTCGACTTCCTCCTTTTCGTTTGGTGGCGTCCAGCCTAAAGATGGAATCAATCTCAAATAGGGTTCCCTTGACTGGGGTTGGGCGCGTCTCTTGGTGTCCTCTTGAATTCCCTGGGATCCGCGATTGAAGGAGACTTCTATTCCCTTTTCCCACATTTTGTCCTTATATATTGCGGTTCCCTTAATTGCCCTGCCGCCCACCAACACGGACTGAAGATCCTTTGGAAAGGGAGCTAGTTTACAACGGGCCGGGGGCAACAAAAGTTTTACTTTCTTCCGCCGCGAGCCCCCTGTTTTTTTCCTGCACCAATGGGCGAAGCATTGGGAGCATGTAAGAAGGAGGGGTTGGTTTCCCTTTGTCTGCCGTGCATGTAGGAACTGGTTGGCCTCTTTTCCCGTTTCCCTGCACCAATGGGCGAATCATTGGGAGCATGTTTAAGGAAATGGTTGGTTTCGCTCTCCCTGCCGTGCAGCGAGGACAAAGCGCCAGAGGTGAAGAAAGGGACGGAGAGCTTCGCTCCACCTGTGAGCAGCGGCTCGGCCTCGGCGGCGAGCGGTCGGGGATGAGGTGAAGGTTAAGTGACGGTTTCAAGAAAGAAAGAGATGCCCTGTAGAGGATTTTCCAGAAGTTTGGGTTGACCTTCCTTTGAGGCAGGTTCTGATTCTGATTCTTTTGAGCTTTGGGTTCTCAGTTTCAGTTTTGATGCATGTTCAGCTGTGACAACCCAAAGGAATATCGTTTTCCCAGTCTTTGGTTTGCGTTCAAGAGGCATGGCCAGCACCACCTGTCATTCTCCAGCCGGGCTTTTGGCTAGGTGAGGAGACCCTGCCTGAAACGGAGTCTTCAGCTCCGACCGCAAAAGAGGAGGTCAAACCCCGGATGCAGCCGCCGGAGTCGCTCGTGCCACTAAGCGCCTTTCAAGTGTCTTGCTTGCAGCATAGTACCGTCCTCCTTTGGGTGAACCTTCGGCTTCCAAATCTAGTGTCCTGTTTTCTTTGAGTGTTTGTATTTTGCCTTTGCTTTGGTGATTCGGTTTCCGTTTGGTGCTCTTAGGTGTCGCATCTTTGGCCAGTTCGCTGAACTACCCCTCCAAAAAGCAAGCATGGCACAAGAATGAGGGTCCCTGAGGAAAATGCTCGCAAACGGAGGTCCCTTCAAGTTCTATTTTTGCTTTTGAAACAGAGCACCTCGTATTTCCCCCAGTATTTTCCTGTGAGGTGGATCTGGCTTCGCCCGCCCACCTCCAGAAGGACCGAAACGAAAAGAGAGGGTGCAGATACGCTTCCCAAGGCTTCCTCCGGTTCTGCCTGTTTCTGCTTTCTGGGAGAAATCAACCAAAAAGGAGAGGCCATGGAAAAGAAGTGACTGTACCAAAAAAAAGAGGCACATGGTTGTTCCCATTTGGGCATGTCTTGTGGAAGGAACCCTTGTGGATTGAAAGGAACACCGCAAAGGAAAGCACCTTGGGGTGGTACCATGGTCCTATGGTCCAAAATGGCACCACCCCGCTGAGGCCCTTGTTTGAGAGGGCAAATCAACGACACTTTGTGTTTGGTTGGGTCGCTATTTTCACACACCTCAACAGCCTTGACTGTTGCCAGTCATTTCCCGAAGTGGCGAGAAGACCTGGTCACGTGCAGGCGGTTCTTTTGCCCCTTCCACAATCGGCACAAACGCCGGATCGCGTGCTGGAGGTTATCCAAGGCAAGAACAGGGCATTCCTAGCTTGGTGTCACACCCCTCCAAAAGGAATTCTAATCTTTCGCCAGTGCCAGACATCCTTCCAAGAACGTTGTCTGAAACGGACACCCCCCCATCACCCCACGCAACCACACCCCTGTGCAGGATCCGGAAAAGCGGCGTCCGGCGGCCTCCGTCAGCGCTCCACAGATCACGCCGGTCGAGTTGGAGAACCGCGCCCGGGCCCAGAGCGACTGGCCCCGCGCCCAGGCGGGGATCAAGAGGTGGCCAGGAACGCCGAAGTATCCTTGGCTAGGTCCCCCAGTAGGGCCCTTTTACCCTTTTTTGGGGGAGGGTTCCCCTACTAAAATAGACTACAGCAAAAAGGGTACTCTTATTTTATCCTCTCTACTGGAGGACCTAGTTGGTATGGAGGGCGTTGGAGCGTGCGGTGTGGTTTTCCCACCGCAGTTGCCACACTCGCCACCAAAACGAGTGGAACAGAGGGTTTATGCGCAGAGGGGAGGTCACCTCAAACCCATCTTCGAATCCCCGAAAACTTGTTTGACTGGCCTCCAACAGTGGCAGTTTCCTTGAAACGTAGAAGCCAATGCCAAGCTTTAGATAAACCCGAAGGACCATGTTCGTCGAACTGAGCTCCCCACCAAAAGCGCGACTGCCACTAACTAGCTGGTGCTCCGGACCCCCCCCCAAGTTGACTCTGCCGTGCCCGGCTATCGAAGAGTGTGCGACCCTGTCAGGCGATGAGCCAGCACAACCTGACCGCGGCAACCCCGCCCACACCTCGGGTCAACGTGAGCGGCTTCAGCGGCTACGTGACTGCTGCTCGCCTACGGGGAGGCATGAGACAGGGCCGATCCTAAGTTTCTGCTCGCGTCAGGCACTTCACATGGCAGTGGTTTCGCACAGGGGCTTCATCAAGTGTGCCTTTTGGCTTTCGTGGCCAAATGCGTGCTCTGTCTCCAGCCATCCCATCCGCCAGGACACACTTCGTTGCAGGAAATCTGCCCTTCCAGCTAATCTACGTATCCATGTAGCTGGTTGCTCAGAAAATTAGTCAGTTAGGCAGCTAGCTGCAAGTCATTGTTAGCTAGTTGGGGACTACAGTACTTAGTTGGCTAGCTAGCAAGCGAAGAAGGGAGTGGCCTTCTTGTAGCTCAATCAGTTTCAGCACTGCAGAAGTCCCTCTTAAGCTTCCTTTGAATAGGGCCCTCTCAATACTCCTTAGACAGGTCATGTCCACGCCCACATGGCGGCTGAGGCCTCGCCCAGAGGCATCCCCAGTCCAGCCCCGCCGGCGCCGGCGCGGCTCCTCAGCGCGCCGCTCTACGCGGGGACGCCGGTGATGTCGCCCAGACAGGCCATGCCCCCGCAGGCCGGATCTGGGAGCGGTATCCTTTCAGCCCCTCCAGGATCAGACACCAGCTGCGTGAATTGCGTCATGTGTGGGAAAGGCCACTTGGTGATTTTGCTTCTGGCGGGTGATGTTTCAAGGGAAAGGCAACGGCAATCCTGTCGAATGGAGGCTCTAAATGTACGCACATGAGGAGTCCTGCTTCCCTGCTTCCATGGAGCGGAAGCCAAAAGGGAACTCCAGGTTTCCTCGATTTCCGTTTTCGGAACCTCCAATAGGTGACAATCGTTTCAACGGAAACCAGCAAGGTAAATTCGGTGACCCTGCTTTGTCTTGTCCTATACCCCGCCAATTCACATGGCCATGGTTCAAAACCAATGGTACCCTTTTGGGATAGGTGCACCACCCATTTTAGAACCTATTTTAGTGGGGAGGATGTTCACTGGGGGCTAACCGATTTGGCTTTTGACCCATGGCCATGGAATCGTTCGACGTTCGGGCCGGAGGCCTTCACCGCGATCAACAGGCGCGAGCTGGCATGCGAGAGCTGGCGCGTGTCCCGGGCTTGACGCAGTCCCCCCCCCCCCCCCCTCGGGTTTTCGGGGTGAAGCAGCCGAGCCACGAAAAACGCCTGGCTAGATGAAGAGGACAGGCCCAAGCACTGGTGCGGATATCTGCCCTTTAAGCTACTATACATGTGCATGGTTTCTTATACTTGCTCACCTCCTTACAATTGGGGTTTGATCCTGATTGAAGATCAGTTTGATGGGACAAAATCAAACAGTCTAGGGTTAAACCAACACTTAGCCTCTATAAATAGGGGTGTCTGTCGTTTTCGCCGTACCCGAAAATAAAAGCGTAAACAATCACGTAAATAAATCAAGCTTTCTGGTTGGCCTGGCCCTTAATAGGAAGAGTCCGTAAATAATATGGTAAATAGTGAGGTAAATTAGTTGTAACTTATTTTGGCTTGCCCGATCTTGAGTGACCCTGCGTGAGCTGGACTTAGTGTCCCTCATTGACAGGGATGTGTATTGGCGAGAATCTTCCCCTTCGCGAATTTAACCTGCTCATATCACTGAAGGAAGGCAAAGCGTCATGAGTCATGAACCATTGGAAGAGCCGCGACAACTTTGACATGAATGTTCATGCGTACTGGTAGCTGCGAGCCACAGTTTTTGCTCGCGAGCATGTGTCGCGTTGGCAAAGCCAAAAAGCTCCGGACGCAAAAGCGCGTGCGCCCATGCTTGCGCTTGGGTTGCGTTGCCATGCTAATAAGCAGCCAGAACCCCCACCAAGATACATGTCAATTTGTGTTTAGTGATCATGAGAAAGGAGATGTTGTAGGAACCGAGGACTAGGAACACTGCGTCTTGTCAAAGAACGTCCGGTATGTCCGGTCATTGGTTATGTCAGCTGCGTGAACAACATTAAGAATATTTGAGGGCGCTTTCCAACAATCAAGACTTAGTCAGCTATTTGTTGGGCGACCTTGCGAGGGCCAATCTTGAAGAACATCAAGATTAACGTCTATATTCCTAACATGCACCTGGCGCACAGACACACAGACACCACCCACACACACACAAACACACATGCACACACGACTCTACGAGGTTGTCTCCGCGTGGCCGCTGATCCAACCAGTCAGGAGTTGCAAAGGACGATTTTAAGCCTTGCCTTCTTGCAGCTTTGCTTGCCGCGTTGTGGTACTGTCGCGCGTTGTTTTTTTGTTTTTTTCCTTTGCCGCGGCTTCGCCTTGTTTGTCCGCAAGACCCAGGGAATCCAAGAACCGATTCCAGAAACCCAGTTGAGCAAAGGCCGGAAAAGAGGAGCGATCGATGCTGTCACATGTGCACGCAAGTTCTGCGGACGGACCTCCATGCTCAAAATGTGTCCCCTGAACGGTTCAGAACGGTTCAGCCAGCCTTTTTCTGCGTAAATGGTTGCGTAAATTTTCGCGTAAATTTCAGACAAGTCTTTGCCTTTTTGTGCTTTGAGATTTCGGATCGCTTGCGATGTTCCGATGCCGGCCTGACCATTTACCTAGGACTAGGAACCGCCAGCCGCGTGCTCACGAACCGTTCCGAGGAACGGTGGCAACCAAACTGCATGCCCCTGAACCGTTCTGAACCGTTCCGAAAGCATTGGAACGCTTGCCCCTGAACCGTTCTGAACCGTTCCGGAGGCATTGGAACCCATGCCCCTGAACCGTTCTGAACCGTTCTGGAGCCCATCTAGCAAGCAGCGCACAGAGCAGGCGTATAGTTCAGAACCGTTCTGAACCGTTCTGAACCGTTCGTCACTCAAGCTTCCCAGGAACCGTTCTGAACCGTTCAGGAGGGATTGCAGCATCATACTATGAACCGTTCTGAACCGTTCAGCAGTCATTGCAGCGGCATACCCTGAACCGTTCTGAGCCGTTCAGGAAGAATTGCAAGCAGCATGCCCTGAACCGTGCTGAACCGTTCAGGAGGGATTGCAGCATCATACCCTGAACCGTTCTGAACCGTTCGGAGACATTGGAGCTGCGTACCTAGGAACCATTCCGAAGATTGCAACAGCATGCTCAGGAATTGCTCTTGCTTCTGCTCACGCATGCTTAGGCTTACCAACCACGTGTTTAAGACTTAAGATGTTTGGCCTCCTAACATTCGCACGGCAGCTGCTAAGGATTTAACAAAGATCATTCAATCAACACCTTGGGCGCTTGTTATGGAGATGGGAGGGGCGCGTTGGAGCCTTACCTTCTTTGTGCCAATGTTTTGCCATTGGCTTGTCTGATTGTGCGCCTTTTATCTCTGTTCAGGCCTGTTACATGGCAAATGATGCAGCTTCCAGCTTCCAACACTGAGGCACACATTGTTTACATGATCTTTTACGTGTTTCTTTAAGGCCTGTTTTTGTTTACATGAATACTTACATGAAGAGTGACGTGG